TTTGTTAGTCGCATACCTACTTTATAGTGCTTTTTTGTAGAAACCCCATAACGAGGATTCACAAAAAAATCAATAGGGATCAAATTAGAATACTTTTCCGAAAATCAAACAGCGCCAGCTGAGCCCCCTCGCGGCAACTGTTACAACCTTGTCATTGCAGTGTGACACTGCCACAACTCCTCCTCCGTCGAAACCCCTAGGGGAGATTTACATTGACGGTGTTCAACGGAGTTTGGTGGTGGCCGTGTGACAGGGGTATTAGACATTTTATCTACAAAGACTTTACAAAATAACAAATGATTTTGAGCGGTCAATGCAGATTTGTTGTATCGAGATTTCACAGTAGCACACGGTGGCAATGGCAAGCACCATTTCGAAGATACTCTGTGGTCCCGGATATGCAGCAACTGATATAGCAATGAAACAGGCAGCATAAGCAGCTGTACACAATACAGGTGTCCTGCAATCTGCTACCAGTCGAAAAATAATAGTTTTCTTGGCCCAGCCGCAGGTTGCACATTGTCTATTGGTTAGTTGCGTGCAGGGCTTCACCTACTCTGCTCACTCCACCACTGCCAGGCTGCTTGCTTTACCACATGTGCGCACCTTGTGGCGATCTGAGGCGCGCCGGCAAGCATTTCGCGGGCATTCCGCCACACGGCCACACCCTTTTGCTTTCCCGCTCTGTTAACACCACGTGGCGATAGATGGCACCACGTGCGGGCACGGCACGCGGTACGCGCGCGCCGAGGGAGCGCTCTCTTTCTCCGTCGTCGGCGCCGGGTAAGCACGTGTTATCCTTCGTCCGCGTCCCCTTTGGGAATTGCGGACTGTAGCCTGCCCGGGGTGGCCTTGGGCACCCCGGAAGGCGTGTTTACTTGAGTGCTGGCTTCGGTAGCGTACGCTAAGCCCAGAGCGGTGCCTAGTGCTTGAAGTGGTCGTACCACAACGAGCTGCACTTGCCGTAGGCCTACGCGTACAAGGTTTGCCCTAACACTCGCGACCAGGCCCAGTGGCCATCGTGAGAGTGCGCAGCATAGCCGCGAGGGACCTTTCCTCGATCGGCGTGTCAAAGCTCGCCATTGCCAGCTGCAACGTGCTCGCGGTTTTTCCCCTTATTGTGACCGTCCGCGTGCGGGTGCCTTTGCTACCCGCGTACCGGGAGCGGACGTTGTACTGTGGTTCGGGGTGCCGCCAGAAGCAATAAAGTGTGTACTTTTGCATTAGAACACTGTCTATTTGCCGCGCCGCGCTAAACGCCTTGTTAGTTGAGCGCGCGCGGAGCGGCGCGCTACACGCGAGTAAACGGAGTAGCGGCCCTGTGGCTCGCTAAGCGTGAACCCGCGGTGATCGTCCGCTGAAGTTAGTAGCGGGGTCGACCACAACCTGCAGTGGGCGTATTCTTTATACAGACTCCGATTCGGACAAGGCACAGATGCAGCAAGCAGCCCGACGTGGCAATGACGAGCTCCTTGCAAACATTGCACTGAAAATGCTGCAAACGAAGTACTCAAGCAGCCCTGGCAGCAGATACACATTTGGACTGTCACTTAATAAAAGCGTGCAGCACAGCGCTACGCTTGCTGCACTTTATGTACACTTTATACAGTAGTATGCAGTGAGGTTTCTCGGCGCCCATGACCTGCAACGCTCAACTTCGCAAGAGCGAACTGCTTTTTTCTACAAGGAGTGCTTGCTCACACAAGGAGGCAGAAATTGACGGCCCAGTGTATCAGGGTAGTCACCTATGTTAAGTGTGCAGTGGGCTTTAAGGGGAGATGCTACTCGATGACACTTTTTAATATTCACCCTAGAGCAATGAAACTTGAGCTGTTTATGGGATTTAATATCCCGATTTCAAATATACAATCAGTTTTCTTGCAAATTGCACAACTTTCAGCTCTGTGACATGACAAAGTGAAACAACCCTTTTGCCCCCCTCTTTTTATCCCTAAACTTCCATAATTTTTTAACATTCATAGTTCGTAATGTTTTCAATAAAGTGTGGTATGCAAATAACTAATTAGAAAGCAGATACAAAATATGTAGTAGACGGAAAAAAGTCCATATTTCACCTACCCTAGTAAAGGTGTACATGCAATTTTTCATTATATAATAAGATATTGAAATTTAAACTACATTGTATTTGCCATACTTTGGAAAAGATCTGGGCAAAATTTCATGCAGGATCCTGAGCGCCAGAAGTGCCCGAAAAAGGAGGGGCACTTTGACAAAAATGGCAAAGTTAGTGTTTTGAGAAACACAAGCTTTAAAAGTTAAAATTGAGTTTATTTATGAAAAAAAGTCATTAAATGCAATAAAATTTGCACACCAGAAAGAAAAATCCTTGTAGTGGCCACTGCCACTAAAATACGCCAGCACCACTGAGTTTGCCCCCGAGAGCTAGGAAAAGTTCGACAGGACTGCGAAATCTAAACTAAGTTCAGTGCTAGATGCCATTTTGCGGCCAGGCTTGTGCTACATACCATTGTACATTAAAAGGCCAGGGATGGCTCAGACTTTTTTTTTACACCCACCATACAAGCTAGGCAACTTCGTAGAATAGACCATAGCTACCCCGTTTTCTGAATATTACACTGCTGTGCGCCGCACAGAGCCTCTATTTAAAAAAAAGCAATTCCCACGGATCTTTCCTACGCCTGACCAACCCCATTGCACGAGCCGTGACGTCAACTCGGCGATCGGCGATGTGACGTAGCACGCAGCTCGCAGATTGGCCTAATCAGGTGTGAAAAAAACAGTAGTGAAGTCAAGGATCAGTTCCTGTTCCCACCCACAGCCACGAAACTGCCCCTCGTTTCATGGCACTGCGGTGAAAGAACCAGCCTCGCAGTTGTCTTGTGCACATGTACACTCCTCGCTCAACTACAGCACCTGTGCGCACGTACGAACGTACTTGGCCCTTGACATGAGCAACACGGGTAAAAAGGCGTTGCTCTGTCGTCGGCTGCAAATCAAGCAACTGGGCAGCGGAGCAGCACTGGCACCGGGTGCCCCACGATGGGGCCCTGCGCGGTGCATGACTGAAGCGAATCGGCCGTCCAGCGACGTACATCAGGGACCTGGTCGTTTGTGGTCGACACTTGGCCCCCGACGCTTACACGGTTGACCCGCGGCTGGTGCGGCAAACGGTGAACAAACAACCACGCTTCGCAGCAAGCGGAAGTGCGTTGCGACTGATCGAGTTCGCTGATGACGTCAATCGCTGAGAAGGTGTCACGTTGCCGAAGTGAGCGGAGTCACGACAATGGGCTATGCCTTTTCCTACATGGAAGGGAGAAGGGGGGCGAGGCCGCGCGAAAATTTGAAACCAGCTTTGACTGATGTTCCAACTTCTGTAACTTCCTTAATATAACATGTATTAGCAAAATTCTTGCAGCAGCATGTTTGCAAAAAGAAACTGCACATACAGTCGAATCTCATTAATTCCAACACGCTTATTTCGAACTTTCGGTCAATTCAAACTCACGATGAGGTCCCGTCAAAGCTATGTGTATTCCAATGGGCGAAAATGCCCGGTAATTTGAATTCGGAAGCACTTGCGACGGTTAATTCGAACATGCCGCGCTCCGAAAATGCTCTCAGCACCCCGCCCAATCCCGCGGCAGCACCTGCGACACCTCAACGCTGTGCGCAACGCAAATGAAAAGGAAAGAAAAGGCTGCGGTGGAATGTTTGCTGTCTCTGAAATGCCGATCTGCGATGCGCTCGTGTCACGCTTCTCCCTTTTCCGTCTCTGCCACGTAAAAACCCTTCTCCTTCCAATGCCGCACGCGAAGAGAGAGAGGAAAAAAAAAGAAAGCTGTTCGCTGTGTTGAATGAATGTGTGGTTGAAAGAAAGGAAAAAGGCACTATCTTCTGCAGCCCTTGCTCCTAGTGGGAGCACGGTTATGCGCCTTGAGAGGGGGGTCTCTCACGCGCCGGTGCCACGCTTCCCCTTTCCCGTCTCTGCCACGTAACCCTTCTCCTTTCAACAACCCCGCGAAGAGAGCAAAAAAAATTTAAAAAGAAACTGCCGTGGAGTGTTGGTTTTTTTCTCAAATGCCGATCTGCTTCTCTCCGCCTGAAGACGCTCCTCCTTTTTCGTCACGTGCTGGCCATGCTGCAGCTCCCCTATGCAGCCGTTATAGTCGTCATCTCAAGAAAGTGTCGGAACTGGACATTTCCGCACGCAACGTCTCTTGCCAGGAGAATGCTGAAGCCGAAGTAGAAATGCTTTGCAAGCTGCGTGCGAAATTTGTTTACTCGTCGCAAGGCAAATGTGTGCAGATGCGTATCACCGATTACTTCAATTATTAACGGATGTCCTGTGATTTGTGAAGAAATGTAAGTCTTCTGAAACTTCTCCCTTGTGTGTTAGCTCAATGCACATGCGCCACTGCATGGAGAGCCCTCCATTTAGCTTTCATTAATTCGAACTTCTTTTAACTAGAACAAATTTTCGGGCCCCTTCGAGTTCGAATTATTGAGATTCGACTGTATATCTCTTTATAAAGTTTTTGGACCTCAGGGCTGTTTACTGGCCCTTTATTAATGGCAATGTTGTCCCCTCTAAGTTCCTTCGCCCTCGCAAAATTTTCGTCTGGTGGCTGTGAAGGACTTTTGATGCATTGGCTTTTGCAAGCCAACAACTGTCGCAAATCGGATCAGCTGCTCATAGCCTACTCCTACAGAGCACGCCCCAATAAATTTTAAAAAAATCGGTAATTTTGAAGAAAACTTGCATTTTTCGACATGCATCTCCCCTTAAGTAGCACCATGCCACACACGTGCCGTAGCTGATAGCAGAGAATACTTATTTGGTAAGGCTTTCCGTCAACGATAAGTCATACTAACATGTTCACCAGATGATGCCACCTCACCTTCGTGCTCTGATGTTGCATGCAACGTTCATGGTGAAAATTTACCGTGCAAAATGAACAGTAAAAATGCAACATCACAAGCGATCACCGTGCCAAGATAAGAGAGTGGCAGCTTACCCGTTCGGCTCGGTGGATGGGAATGACTCCGTGTTAACGTGAGCAATGGCGATGTACGGGTGGCGTTCCAAATTGGAGATGAGGATGCGGATCTTGGACTCGACCAGGCCATACCACTCCAGGTGGTGCTCCTTGGACTGGGTGCTGGCCATGAGCACTATGAAGTGCTTGTACTTGCCGAAAAAGTTGGGCGGCTCGAACAGCTTCATCCAGTCGGTGCGCCGGAGCATGATCTCGTCAGTGATGGCCAGCCCTGTAAAACAACACACTTTTGGAAGACACACCCCTCACACCTTTTACAGGATATAACATTTCCAGGACCCTATCCCACCATGCAATTCCCAGACAACTATGCATTACAATCCCCCTCTGATTTGTTCCAGGCATCCTCTGTTACACTGCGAACTCTTGCTGTGTTTGACATGCCAAGGAAGCAAGTCTATGGGCTTGGCGATGGGAGGAATACAAGAAATTCATACTACACTCAAGACGGCTTTACCCTAAAGCTCCATTCACACCTTTCCAAATTTCCAGTTGGCAAAAAGGATGGCAACATGTCGTACATCACACTGTAGAGGGACTTGAAGAGAGAGAAAAAAAAAAAAAAAAAACTCATCATGGCAATCGGTCTGCAAACAATTTTAGTCACTGGGATGAAGAACCAACCTTTGTCACAGGCCAATCAAACTGCTATGTTATGAGATAAAGGAAGAGAACGAGAACCTTAAAACCGGTATGTCGCTCAGTTGAGAGCATTTATCTATCAGGCTACATTGCAGATGACAGTATTTTCATATTGCACAACATCGGAGACCGTATTGGCAATCTCTTCACCAATCAGTAATGGAGTTTAGTGTACGGCAACATGTGTACCGTACTTTCGGGTGTATAACTCACTTTTGAAAAAGACGTACCACCAACTTCTTACGACTTTTACAGAAAAAAGGATGATTTTGACACTGCCAGAATGATCCAACACGAAGCACGCAGAGTGCTTTCATTGCAAAATGCAAGGTCATGGTCATGCACAACGTTGAATACAGTAGAATCTCGATGCGAATTCGAAGAGATCGCGTAAAATATTCGTATGAACCAAAAACAACTTAAACCTGATAAAAATGATGAACTTCATTGGCAACTACACCTTGATAAAACGAGTGTGATGTTCTTTTGAACTTTCCCGTCTTCACAGTCTCTCAAGTGCCGCGATTTCCTCGCTCATGCTGCTCACGCAGCACGTTTACAGTGGACGTCAAAGCAAGCGAAAGCGGCTAAACTCATTGGAAATTCACTCGCTTTCCCGCTTAAACAGCCAGAAAACAATGCCGCGAAGTCTACCCGAAAAAGAAAAAAAAAAAAAAAAACGAGTCTTGGAGAATTCAAGCGAAAATGCCAGCGCGGCCGGAACACCACATCCACGCCCGCCGAAAACGTTCACATTCGTTCTGCCACTCGTATACATGCCACTCCTGCCGCCGCCATCGTTGCTTGAGGATTCATTCCATTTTGCCCGTTTTCAGAGCACTGAAGTTCACACCGAGTTATAATTATGCATACAAGGCACTGAAAAAAAAGCAGTTTACACCTTTACTAACGTTATTTCAGAAGACACACCAGCCGAAATGACACGAGCAGGCACAGCGGCGGCAACGGATTTAGCCGGCAGTGCAAAAGCAAGACACGATCAGGCAAGCAGACTCGCTGCTGCTGCACCTTCTACTTCCGGTGTTATCAGCGATCGCAATCCAAGCTAGGCTCTCGACCACCCCGTCCTTATCAAGGTCGTGAGCTTTGACATGCCGCGCAGGGTAGTTCGCAATAGCGCCGACGCGACCAACTGTTGATGCTTTCGCCGCCAATGTCAATTTTCGGCTGGTTGACATCACGTGGTTTGAGAGAGAGCGATAGTGCAGCCGGTGAAGCCAAAGCCGTGAAGCGAAAAGGCGATACTATGCTTATGGCATGGGGGGAAAATTGGTCTCAAACAGATTTTTCGCATTGGCCTCGTGGTGTTTTTGCCGTGTTGCGCCGCTGGCATGCAGCGGTCAATCGCACATTCGTACCATCCGCGGCGGCTGGGGAAACCATTCGTATAACACTGAATCAAGGTGTATTTTAAATAATGTAGTCCATCCAAAGCAATCTTGAATTTGAATCATTGCAAAATTTGCATCAACCGTAACCATACCGAGATTTTACTGTATCTCGATGTTGGTAAAACCTGTAAATAATGCTACCATGAGGTGCAGAAAACCAGTATTCCACTGGATTCGAAGCCTTCGATGCACTATCAAAAGTTTTTACGCCTCGGTTGGCAGCATCTTCGTCGTTGCCGCCGTACTTGACCATCAAGTAGCCGACATTGAAGACTACACCTGCTTCATTGTTATAACACTAGATGTCTTTTTATAAATGTTCCCAAGCTTAGTTTACCATACTCGCGAAAAAAATATCGGCATTATTGACCTCGCAGAATCGCACGAATTTTTGCGTATGCAAGACGCACGAGCGTAAATACATTAAATAAACTGCATCTTAAACACCGGAAAATGTGGTAATGCCCCTCCTCCTCCACAGCAGCTGCCAATCCACACCTGACTTGAACTCCTGGCGCATGACGGTCAGGGTGGAGATAGACACGTTGAAGGTGGAGTTCTGCTGAGGGTAGGCAGGAGTGATGATGGGCATCAGGTGGAAGCGGTCCGCCACATTCACCCGGGGGTCCCACAGGGGGAAGCCCAGCCGGCTCTCCTCGGGCTGCTTGAGCAGCACGGGCTTGGGCCAGGGCCACTGGGAGAAGACGAGGAAGAACTTGTGCACCAGGGTGGCAGCGGCCGCGTTCGGGTACAGCTGGCAGGTGCGCGCCACCAGCATGGCCCACGACACGCCGCCCAGGTATCCCAGCACGTTGGAGTACACCCCGTGGCGCTTAGCCCACAGCTTGATGGCACGCAGCGCCAGCCGGAACGTCTCCCGGTTGGGCACCAAGTGCAGGATCTCGTCCGTCACGCGACAGCCTGCGCGAGAGACGGGGATGGCAAGACTTGGCAAGAGTGCGCCAGGTCATAGAATACATGCACTACTTCGCTGAGCTTTATAGTAATACTCCAGAATTTTACCTTCCAAACCCTGCAGGATCTCAAAAGAGATGCTACACAACAAACGAACATAGTACACAACATTGTACAATGTATGTGTAGACTTCTAGTTAAAGGAAATGCGGGTTTAAAAAACCCAAGATTTCCTTAAATTTGCTGTTTTTATGAGGTTATTACCTTTACTGTTCTGAGAAGAAAAAAATTTATGCCGAAAATGGCGTCGTAAAGAGCACAAGGTAGCTGTTGAAAGGCTGGAAGTGCGCAGTCTTTGAGCACCTTGCCATTGATAATGCGCCGTCAATCGCCATTGTCGATCACATGAGGCAAAGAGCCGAGCCTCACTCTTCAAATAAGGACGGTTTCCTGCGCTGCTGCAGCCCTACAAATAAAAACTCTCAGCATATCCACGGAGTGAATGATAATGAGTGGGGTGAAGCGGTGCAGGGTTTCATCGCTAAACCGTGAACCATCCGCGAATATTGCTCACTACATCATCAAAGAAGTGACAAACACTGTACACACTTATACAAAAATTTTTATTATTTGTAATTGGAAGCTATACGTCGCTTCCGTTCCCCCTTCATTATAACGGCTTTATGGTCGATGAAGTGCTGGATGTAGGTAGCGGGCAGTTTGCGAAGGTGGAACTATAGGCGGTCATGTACATACAATGGATGGACAGACCCACGCGTTTAGGAGCTTTGCCCCTAAAAGAAGCATGCCTTTGCCAAATTTTTTGGAGTGCCGTGACTGGCTTTTAAATCGGGGACCTCCATTGGCCGCTGAGCACCTGTAAGAGCTGTGAAGCCTACTTGCAGGGTCTGTGTCTCGTTGAGCAAGCGTAGCCGAACAATGCTTTTCTCGCGTTTTTATCTCCACTATGGGTGAAGAATAGTGTAGCTTGCGCGATAGCTACACTGTCAACGTGAGAGCTGTTGTGGCGGCATGATCTGTAGGAATAGACTACGAGCAGCTGGTCCGATATGTGGCAATTCATGGCTTACAAAAAGTCAATGCATCATAAGCCATTCACATTATCACACGGAAAGTCCGTTATACAGCAATGGATGCAGTCTGCGCCAATCTTGTGAGGTCGAGGCAGCTCACAGTGAAACAAATTAGCAGGGACGACATTTCCGTTATGTACGATGGTGCGTGGCACAAACACGGCCACAAGAGCCATGGCAGCATGACTTTGCACGCATGACTTTGCACGCATGACTTTGCACGCATGACTTTGCACGCATGACTCCGTGCGCGAGTTCGGAGGCGTGCTTTGGCACTCGCACGCCTGGCGACCTCCGCGCAGCACCACGCCTCCGCCAAAACCCGAAACTCTCAAAAGGTAAGGGCGATAGGGCTCGAACTGCACAATTTCCACGGAAGCCCTCCATGACAATCTCTATCTTGCGAGAAGGCTTTCTTTTTTTTTGTTTCTCTTTTTTCTTTCATGTTTTTTCAGCGTATCCGTCGGGTCGGAGAGCAGGAACGAAGAAGCTAATGTCCTCATCCTTTAGCCTTTTATTTTTTGTTGCTGTTTTGCGAGGTTTGATCAACCAACCACCGCTCGCACCTTTTGCTCTTGCCCTCACAGGTGGCCGGCCATCGCCTCGCGAGCGCTTCGCTTCTGTAGTCGCGTCGCCTACGTACATGTACCATCGCATGTGCAGAATTTCTCTTTTGCGTGCGCAGTGTGCAAAGCTGCTGCCGATTTCTTAAATTTACTTCTCGTGTAGCTATAGCCAGCATCAAGAAGTGCAAGACCTTTGACTTTGCGACGAAGTTGAAGGCTCTTCAGCGTGTTGAGGAGGGCAAAAAACGTTTGACCGTCGCGGACGACTTTGGCACACCACGGAGCAGTCAGAATACCTTGTTAACAAAGCAGATATCAAGGCAAAAAAAAAAAGCGAACATCAGGAGTCTCATGTGCACGCTTCTGCCCACAAGAATGTAGAAGAGGCAGTCTATGCCTAATTTTTAGAAGTGCGCGTGAAGAACGTTTCGGTGGATGGCCCGATGCTGATCACCAAGGCCAAATAATTTGCTACTGCACTCAGCAATTTAGCCAACAACACCGGGTGGTTTCACCGATTTAAGCAGTGCTACATCATTAGCAAACCAATTCTGGCGAAAAGTGAAGCTGTCCAGCTGTAGATGACAAAGTGGTCGGAAATCTCCACGATGTTCTCCCACGGAAATCTTCAATGTCTGGTGAGACGTGCAACTGACACAATGGTCAACTGCTTTCACAAGGCAGGCTTCGAGAGGGTGTAACTTGTAGGAAACCGGTGAAGACGACGACGAGCACATAGAAGACTTGTTTCGCGAGTTGTCGTCCCGCTTTCCGGCAGCAGTTCAACACGAGGTGTGTGCGGACGACCATGGAAGCGGACTGCAATGTCCAAGCCGTTGTGAGCCTCGCCGACGAGAACATAGTAGCTGCGGTGGCAGGAACCCAGGATGCCCAGGCCGACAGCTTAAGTGATGAGGAGGATCGTCCTGACGAGGCACTGGCTAAACACGCATACTCCAGCCACTGAAGTAGCGGCAGCGTTCGGCGTCATTTGTCGATGTACCAGCGACATGGAACGAACTGGACTGTCGCACCTGGACGGCCTTGATAAGATCGAGACTAGCTATCTTCAACTTCATTTTAAAAATGAAGAAGGCCATGATAAGCAATTTTTTTTTTCATGCAAATAAATCACTGTTGCAGCTTGCATGCGGAATTGTCATTCTTGAATGCGCCTATTACAGGTGACAATCTGCTTGAGATAGGCTCTTGAGGTTTTTTTTTTTTTTTTCAAAATTTTCATAGATCGAACTAATTCGCGGGCCCCTTCGAGTCCAATATATGTGTTCGACTGTAAAAGACAACAGATACAATGTACCTCCAATGCAGGGTCACCAACACTCTGCCTACTGCACTGGTTCGCAAGATTGGGCCACGGTAACTAAAGGGTCCTCCCATAACAGATGGCCGTCCATGGACACATCAAACCCCAAATAAAAGTCAGCTCTTTCTCATGTGCCCTGTATACTGTATTTACTCGCATAATGAAACACTTTTTTTTTTTTTTTTCAGAAAACTTGGCGCCAATTTCGGGGTAGGATTCATTACGTGGGAGAAAAACGTCCCGGTAGTTACAACAGTGAAAAATTCGCACGATTCGTTTGGCCCGTGAAATTAGTGATGAATATTTTTTTTGTAGCCCAAAGCTCTTATTTTTTCCCCGTAACGAACGCGCACAGATCGACGCCAAAGTGTCGTCCAGTTGCTCGGTTCCCATGCTCCAGCGCATGCAGCCATGTAGCTAGCGTATTGGCCGAACGCACTCCCGCGAAGCAGATTCGTAACTAAAATCCCTACGACAAACCCGACAACAAAAACGCAGCGTAGATTAGTGGCGCACCAACTCTGCAGATGCGCAACGTGCTGTCAGCGCCGTAGCGCTTTGCATGGCGTCTGATATGGCGGGCGTGCGCCGCAAAAACATGCCGCACGCCCGTCATATCTGAGGCCATGCCGTTGGTTTTTTTTGCTTTACTTTCGTGCCACTGTGCTTTCATGGCACGCAAAAAGGTTTCTCCAGCAATCTACAAATGGCGCTCTAGCGCGACTTTTAAACTTTGATTGATGTCACTTCGATTGATGGCTACTTCGAATCTCCCAATGCAATTCACCACCAATTATGCTATCTCTGACACATCGGCACGATGAGGTGAAAATGACATCACAGATGGTTAAGCACTCCCTGCAAACCATACATTAAGTTACAAGGCACGTAAATTTCGTGCAGATTTTCGAACAAGCATCCAACTGTCAAGTATGCAGGCATGCCGGCATTTCAACCTCATTAAATTGCTGACACCATGGCCATGAACACTGATCCGTTCTGCCTGCTTAAGAGTTCACAGGTTGTCTTGCGCCAAATTAGGATGCGAGTAACAACAGAACTAACATCCCTTGTATCGAAAGTATTAGACAAGAGTCTCTAGGTACACTGCCAATATCAGCGTGTGTTGATCATTGTTACAACACTACAGTAAAAGCTCGTTAATATGACACCCGTTAATTCGGATGGCTCTATTGGTCCCGGCCAAAGTGCATGTTAATCTATGGGACCAAACCTTCGTTATTTCGGAATTCGGCTTGAACATTGAATCGGCTTGAACATTGAATTCGGCTTGAACATTCGGCTTGAACATTGAATCGTTCAAAGCGTCAGAAGGGTGGTTTGCGAGGTTTCGAGAGAGACACGAACTTGTCTTCAGGAGTGTGTGCGGCGAAAAGGCCAGCGTTGACGAAAGCGTGACCACCGAGTGGAGAAACGTGAAGCTGCTGGAGCACATCGCCGCATATGAACCATGTGACGTGTTCAATGCAGGTGAAACTGCTCTATTTTTCAGAGCTCTGCCCGACAAGACGGTGACTTTCAAAGGGGACGCGTGCATTGGTGACAAGAAGTGCAAGCAATGGATAACTGTGCTTCTTGCCGCCAATATGACTGGCACGGAGCGCTTGCCACTACTTGTCGGGAAGGCACTTAAGCCACGTTGTTTTAAGAACGTCAAAAGCCTTCCTGTCGAGTACACAGCGAAAAGGAAGGCATGGATGACATCGGACATTTTTCGTGGCTGGCTGCAGCAGTTGGACCGGCACTTCAGTTCGAAGGACCGCAAGATAATTATGGTTGTTGACAACTGCAGTGCTCATAACTGTACAGTCGAACTGAAGAGCATCAAAGTAGTTTTTTTGTGCCTAACACTACGTCTGCTCTTCAGCCGATGGACCAGGGTATCATTCACTACGTGAAGTCGAAGTACCGCAAGCACTTGCTAGAGCGAATGATCCTATGCTCAAAAGCTGGAAAGTTGTATCAAGTGGACTTACTCGGCGCAGTGCACATCATCGCCCATGTGTGGAAAAACACTCCGCCGCAAGTCATCGCCAACTGTTTTCAACACAGCGGTTTTGTGAGGCCCGAGCATGCAGCAGTAGCTGATGGCATCGAGGAGGTGTCAGCCGAGTCCACCGACGATGACTGCCCGACTTTCGATGCTGTCCTTCCCACAGATGTGACCTTTCAGGACTACATCGCGATTGATCATGGTGTCGCCACGAGTGGTCTCCTGACCGATCAAGAGATTACTAATGATGTCACAGGCGCCCATGAAGACCTCGATTTCGACGAAGAATCATGCGAGGAGATACAGCCGCGACCTCATCGCACCTCACGGGAAGTCTCGGAGGCGCTGTTAATATTAGAGGATGCTTGCCTGAACTCTCCCGACAGCTTGCATGCTGTTGGCCATTTAGAACAGTTACGAAAAATTGTGATGTCAGTCGGAATCTGTGCGAAAATGCAGACGACAATTACAAAATACTTCAACAAATAAGGGTATGCTTCTGCAGCTTGATTTTAAATGTTGCTTTCCCTGTTCATTCGTTAATTCGGCATTCGGACACTTTTTGCCGGTCCCGTGAAATCCGAATTACCGAGCTTTTACTGTATTTGTCACCAGGAGTTCTTGGGCTCTAAACAGCACACACTGCTGTAGGCTGTTTACTTAGTGGACTAGACAGCTCCTAGAGGTCTTGCCCGGGCCAGTTATTTCTTGTTGGATCCTTGATAAAGTTCATTACCTACCTACATAGTGGACTAACAGAGTACCCCTTTCACGTCTCTGGGGCCCCAGATATTTATAAAACGGAGCTAGACATGGAACTGGCCGAATGTGGGGACCCTCCGCAATAATCCAACAAAGAGAGTTTCACTTTAAAACTGTTGACAAGAATCCTGCACTTCACGCCCTCCTTCCAACTCTCCTATGAGAACTGTGCAGACCAGTTGAAATTTGTCCACATTTGTAGTGCACCCACCGTTCAGACTGCGCACACACTTCTGGTCCAGATTCTTGAGGATGTTGACGTCACGCAGGTCCTGGTCCTCCGGAATGTCCTTCAGGGCTAATCGAGCAAACAGCATGTCCAGCTGCAACAGAAACAGTTTCATTCACTTCCTTGTGCATTTAGTCACAGTGCTACAGCATATGCCAGAAGAGAGGAAAAAGCAAATAAATCAGTTACGAGACAATGCACAATGCTACTCGACATATACACTTGCGTACCTCTCAACTCTCTCCCAATCTGCCCAAACGACCCGAATTTCGAGCAATTATGCGAATTGTACGGTAATAGCCATTAATCTCCCAGGAAAACAGCCTCTACCCTGCCGTGAAAGAAATGGCGAAGGGCAGCAGCCCTCAAATTTTCTGGCCTTGGTCTATTGAATGTGCAATACTTCTGGCCGTGCACCACTGATGTCATGCAGAAAAGCATGCCAAGATTGGGAAGGGTCTAACCGCCATCCCCAGAACAGAGCACATGTGCCCTAGTTATACGCTTCTGCAGGCACTATATGCTGTACAGTAAAAGCTCGTTAATTCGGATTTGATAGGACCGGAAAAACTGTCCAAATTAACTGAATGCCGAGTTAACGAATGAACAGGGAAAACAACATTTAAAATCAAGCTACAGAAGCATACCTTTATTTGTTTAAGTATTTTGTAATTGTCGTCTGCGTTTTTGTGCAGATTACGGCTGAAATCACAATTTTTCTTAGCTGTTACAAATGGCCAACAGCACGCAAGCTGTCGGGAGTGTTCAGGCAAGCGTCCTCTAATATTAACAGCGCCTCCGAGACTTTCCGTGAGGTGCGATGAGGTCGCGGCTGTATCTCCTCGCATGATTTTTCGTCATAATCATGGTCTTCATGGGCGCCCGTGACATCATTAATAATCTCTTGATCCGTCAGGAGACCACTCGTGGCGACACCATGATCAATCGCGATGTAGTCTTGAAAGGTCACATCTGTGCTCAGCATCGAAAGGACAGCATCGAAAGTCGGGCAGTCATCGTCAATGGACTCTGCCGACACCTCCTTGATGCCATCGCCAGCTACTGCTGCATGCTCGTGCCTCACAATACCGCTGTGCCAAAAACAGTTGGCGATGACTTGCGGCGGAGTGTTTTTCCACACGTGGGCGATGATGTGCACTGCCCCGAGTAAGTCCACTTGATACAACTTTCCAGCTTCTGAGCATAGGATCATTCGCTCTAGCAGGTGCTTGCGGTACTTCGACTTCACGTAGTGAATGATACCCTGGTCCATCGGCTGAAGAGCAGACGTAGTGTTGGGCGGCAAAAAAACTACTTTGATGCCCTTCAGTTCGACTGTACAGTTATGGGTACTGCAGTTGTCAACAATCATAATTATCTTGCGGTCCTTCGACGTGAAACGCCGGTCCTTCGACGTGATAATGCCGGTCCAACTGCTGCAGCCAGCCGCGAAAAATGTCAGATGTCATCCATGCCTTCCTGTTCGCTGTGTACTCGACAGGAAGGCTTTTGACGTTCTTAGAATAACGTGGCTTAAGTGCCTTCCCGACGACAAGTAGTGGCAAGCGCTCCGTGCCAGTCATATTGGCGGCAAGAAGCACAGTTATCTTGCTTGCACTTCCCCTTTGAAAGTCACCGTCTTGTCGGGCAGAGCTCTGAAGAATAGAGCAGTTTCATCTGCATTGAACACGTCACGTGGTTCATAGGCGGTGATGTGCTCCAGCAGCTTCACATTTCTTCACTCGGTGGTGGTCACGCTTTCGTCAACACTGGCCTTTTCGCCGCACACACTCCTGAAGACAAGTTCGTGTCTCTCTCGAAACCTCGCAAACCACCCTTCTGACGCTTTGAACGATTCAATGTTCATCATTGCAGCGTATTTCTCACCTTGCGCCATGATGAGAGGTCCGCTCAAAGGCAGATGCGCGTTGCGACAGTCAGTAATCTACCGGAGCAAAGCCTCTTCGAGCTGGGGATGAGCTGCGGTTCGCAACCGCTTTCTAGAGGCATGAAAATTCTCGCTTTCGAAGGCTTGTCGAATCTGTAGTTCATTTTTCACGTACGTTGCCAACATGCTCCGCTTCACGTTGTACTTGGTCATAACCTGCTGTCGCGATTCGCCGTTCTTCAGTGCTTCCAAAGTTTCCACTTTAGTCGCGAAGTTCTTCGTGTCGTAGTTCTGCCGCTTTTTCGGCGTTGCCATCACTGTAGCGCACGATGGTGGTGGCATGCAAATACAGTCACAATGGAAGAAAAAAAGAACTCCGCAAGAAGAGATAGTTCCGACATGACAACACAAGAGAAAATGCCGTCGGAGGCACTCAGTGGAGAAAAAAGAAGACGCCGACGTTCGGTGACGCTGCGATCGCCCCCACTAGTTGATGATGGTGGCGATGCCACTCATGTTTCGGTTTCACTCCAGTGGTGCCAGCGCTGCTTTATCACACTTTTGTGTAGCAGCAGCCGTCAGCATTTGTCCGAATTAAGTGGTGCGGAGCTGAATTCGGACGAAATAACGAAGGTTTGGTCCCATAGATTAACATGCACTTTGGCCGGGACCAATAGAGCCGTCTGAATTATCCGAATTGACGGGTGTCAAATTAAAGAGCTTTTACTGTATTTTCTAGCAGATAACCTGCATGATGAAATGGGCTAAAGTTATATGCGATGGCATATAACCTGCAAGAAAATATGAGTTACGAGTACCAGTATCATGGCAGACGCCTAAAAACATTGTCAGCAACCATTCAGATGAGCTGCCTGCGAAGCTGCTATGGCCTAGATGAGCTGCCTGCGAAGCTGCTATGGCCTTGAGATACAGACATAGCATATTTACTTGCATAATTTGATTCTCGCACTTTTTTAGCAGAAGACTGATGAAAAGTTGGAGGTTGCAAGATTGCGAGGAAAATGTTCCACGAAAACACACGCGGTAAAAAAACTAAAGGATTGACAAATCGATATTCTCATGCAAGCGATTAACTCCAAGCTTTGACAAGTACAAATCAAGACTTACCTTAACAATAAAATCACAAGTTCAACGCAAGAAAAGATTTATATGCGACACAAAAGCTGCAAGCAAATACTACCGAGCTTTGGAATACCGTACACAAAGCTTGCGGGCAGAGTTCGTCACTCGACAAGAACCCGCACAAGCATAAAGTTTCGTAAAATTAACTAGAGCGGACTCTGGCATTGCGATCGTTTAGCAACCATGGGAATAATGGGTAGTACACGGATTTGCCTGATCTTCGCACTTGTGGCTTCGTTTGTTGCAGTCTTTCAATTTTGATTTGAAGGAAAGAACAAACCATTGTGAACTTCGTGACCCCATTTAAAATTTACGATAAGCCTAAAATATAAGGTGTGCCTATTGTTTCGTGACAAAGCTAACTGAAGCCACGCAAATCCAAAAGGAACGTGAAGTACGAAGACTAGGCAAATCCGTGTACTACCCATGATTCCCATGCTCACTGAAGCTCCATGCATTGCAGCTCCCATAGACACTGGTGCCAGAGATCCCTTTGGTGCATGAAGTATTTACTGGGCATAATGAACCCATCTCCCACTTTGGTCCTTAAAGAAAAAAAATGTTTGATGTATGTGCATTTCATTTTTGTAAAATAGCCAGTGCCATTGACGATCGAGACATTAAATCAAGCCATTATATCAGAAAATAATGGAATATACCGTATTTACTCGATTCTACCGCGCCCTTGATTGTAACGCGCACCCGGTTTCCACGACGAAAAAGAAAAAGTAAGACGTCGATTGCAACGCGCACCCATTTTTCTCGTTGGCCCACTCGATCACACCACTCGGGAAAAAGACTCCTTTCGGTAGCATCTTCCGTTTAAATATGAGGTACGGGGAAAGCTTGTGCCTATCTGACGTGCAACGGAGCATTGCCGTCACTAGTTTTACCGTGGCCAGATGTCAGCACGTGAACTTTTTTCGCCCCCTTCTTGACGGTTTTGTGGTGCCAGGCATGCCGAAGTAAAGAGGCATCTGATCGGCATTGCCGATTTGCCCAAGCAGGGAGCCGTTGTTGTGCCGCAAGTTTAGCACGAACCTCTGAAAACAAGCTTTTCTTCGTACTCCTCCGGCAACTTTTGGCATATGCCCGTTCGCCTTCAGAGAGAAAAGCCTTTCTTCTTCATAGAGTTAGTTAGCCAGCACCTGCTCACTTTAAACTGGCTCCGCATTAGCCCTTTTTCTAAGGCTGACTGCATAGCCTACACTTGGAGCAGTTCTGTTGTCACGGGCCGCTGTGCCGCTCACTGCTCAATCACATACTCGCTGAGCAGCTCTTAAATTTGCGGAAACCGACCCTGCTGTGGTCCGCTGAAGCCTTTGCGTGAATCTTTGTTGTCGACAATCTTCTGGTTTTGTTTCCGTCAGTCCCGCACACCAATTCGAACTACGAACGACTGCGATGCAGCCCGATTTACGTCCGTTTCGGCACACGCGACGACTTTTCTTTTAAAAGCGGCATCGCGGTGCACTCGTCGAGTTTTTGGAGTTGGCCCTTCCACGCCGTCGATGCTAATGCACACCAAGATGACGAACTCCTCAACACACGTACGAAGTGCCGCACATGGGAAACACATAGGCAGAAATGGCCTACGTGCCATGCCGATGCACGTAGGGGCGGCCATTTTGGAATGCCGATGGCAATAGAGTGACCGTATTCATTTTTTTTTTCGTACTCGATTCTAACGCGCATGCCATTTATGAACTTCGCTTAACAGGAAAAAAAATGTGCGCGTTAGATTGGAGTAATTACGTTAAGTTAAAACACAGTTTCACAACTACGTGAAACAGTTGCGAGCACCGCGAGCATAGACAACTTCAATAAAAATGTTAAAGTCGTGCCTTTTGCAACAATGCACCATCTGTTGAATGCAGGAGGAACTTCTTTGCTGATAGCGCCACACAACCACGCCAATGGCGTGTCGTGCACCCACAGCGTTTACCTGCAACGTTTGTGCACCGCAATCTGAGCCTGCCTTTTCGTTGTCTGGTTTCTTGTTGTGAAATTGGTAGATTCTCCTGCTGCGCAGGGCACGTTCGGCCGATACATTAGCCAAACGGCTGGTTACAAACAGCATGCGCTGGAGCATGGGAACTGGGCAGCTGGACAACACTTTGGCGTCGATCGGTGCACTTTCGTTATGGGTGGAAACAAAAAGAGCTTCGGGCTACAAAAAAGATTCATCGCGCACTTGCACGAGCCAAGACAAGCAAAGCCATCACGTGAAACTTTTGCTTATAACTCCCGTTACTTTTTTTTTCACCCACGTAATAAACCCTCCCTTCAAACTTTTTGGAGAAAAAAAAGCGAGTTCATTGCGCAAGTAAATACAGAATTATTGAAATCTTAATGCGCAAAAAGTTAACGTACAACATCAACATTGCGATGACGGCCATCTAACACCGGAATTATTCGCAGTTACTTCCTGACAAAATAGTCTTACGTTCCGTCTATGTCTGACACATGAAAGGTCCAGTGCATCTTGGTGGCTTTCAGCTGCCCGTGCTGCCGTCTCCAACAGCGAACAGAAAACGTCTCCAAAGTGCCTACTGGCGGTCCTGTTGCCGTTTAGTGCGTGGTCAATCACTTCCAACTTAAAAGCAGTCATGTAAATTCCGTATCGCCCCATAGCGTAACCACAGAACGGACACAATGTACACTAATACGCTGCAATGCGCACTTGCCATTTTGGCTTGGCTTGGATTGAGGCTTCGTGCGTTAACAGTACGCGTAACAGTTAAGAGATAGCACCAGACTGGCGTGCGCTATCATTAGCAGTGGTTGGAAGGAGCAGATGATTATGTGGCTCCTATTTTCGGAGGAGCAATAATTGCAGAAAAAAAAAAATCTTATTTATTGTTGGGAAATGTGGAGGGTGCGAGGATTACGTGAGTAAATACGGTACACCAGTTTCCATCTATTGCAAGACTAGACCTACTTGTAGCATACTGTCACAAACGAGCGTTCAGAAAAGAGTGTGTCGCCAAATACTGGCAACAGTAACAGTGACGATACCAAGCGCTAGAGAGACGCCTCAAGGTCAACGCTAAAGAAGAAAACAAGCACCCAAACTCCCCGGGCGCACTGTATTTCCCCCTCAAAAGCGTAGTTTCGCAGACCAACCTCCTCACATCGCCCTGCTACGGTGGACTAGTGGACAAGGTACTCGGACGCTGACCCGCAGGTTGCGGGATCGAATCCCGGCTGCAGCGGCTGCATTTCCAACGGAAGCGGAAATGTTGTAGGCCTGTGTGCTCAGATTTGGGTGCATGTTACAGAACGCCAGGTGGTCGAAATTTCCAGGACCCCTCCACTACAGGCGTCTCTCATGATTCTACGGTGGTTTTGGGAGATTAAAACCCCACATATCAATCCAACCTCTACACCGGCGGCCTAACAAGCCCTGGAAAGATTTGGAAGGAAAACGGCGTGGCGATGAAGAGTTGCGTCACGAGTCGTGGACAGTCCTCGAAACGTCTCACTCTTTCCCCAGCCTTGGCTGTGAACCATGCCGACGAAACAATTAGAATTTTCTGGAATCTAGCGTGAAAGGTATTTGAGCGAGCAGCGAAGAAGGGAGATGAAGACAGTTTACACCAGTGTGCGTCGACAGGAGATGGAGTTTTACGCAAATGTACGTAGGGTCATTCCGCCGTGTCGGCGAAGGCTTTTGTTGTCAGTGACAAAGCAGGTGATGAAAAGGGTTTCGGCCCGAAGGGTGAAGGCTGGTGGTACCAGCAGAACAGTGAGAGTCTGCCACCATAGAGCGAAGACGCGTCCTGCAATCGCAACGTGTGGGAAGTCTACGTGTTTCTGGCAAAAATGTTTGGTGCTTGGAGTGCGGACATTTGAAGACTATTTCCTGAAAAAGAAACTTCGGGGGCAGCGAATCGACAACAGCGCTGGACTGAGCGATTCTTGGGAGAGTACCATTCAGACTTTGTTCCAAGGACTTTGGACTGAATGAGTTTTCGAACTCTTTAGTCTTTAAGTGTCTTGGTTGTTTGATGCATGTGTTTGCATTGTAGCGTGTATTGTTCTTTGTGTCTGTTGTTTCCAGTGTAGCTGATTGTACTGGGTAGTCCATTGTTTGATTGGTGAAATATTGTACTGAACTATTGCCGAGTGTGCATGTTTGTGTATCGTTTGATCTGACATACTTGAGGATATACCGTAATTACTCGAATCTAACGCGCACCTTTTTTCCGGTTAAGCGAGTTCATAAATCGCATGCGCGTTAGAATCGAGTACGAACAAAAAAAATTACGGTCAATCTATTGCCATCGGCAAAACCAAAATGGCCGCCCCCTACGTGCGTCGTCCTTCCTCCGTGGTGCGTCGGCATGGCGCTTCAGCCATTTCTGCCTATGTGTTTCCCATGTGCGGCACTACGTACGTGTGCTGAGGAGTTCGTCATCTAGTAGTGCATTAGCATCAACGGCGTGGAAGGGCCGACTTTAAAACTCGAGTGCACCACGATGCCGCTTTTAAAAGAAAAGTCATCGCGTGTGCAGAAACGAACGGAAATCGGGCCGCATCGCGGTCGTTCGGAGTTCCCGAAACGTGCGTGCGGGACCGGCGGAAACAAAAGCAGAAGATTGTCGACAGCAAAGCTTCACGCAAAGGCTTCAGTGAACCACAGCAGGGTCGGTTTCCGCAAATTAAAGAGCTGCTCGGCGAGTATGTGCTTGAGCAGCGAGCGGCACAGCGGCCCGTGACGACAGAACTACTCCAAGTGCGGGCTATGCAATTTGTCTTAGAAAAAGGTCTAATGCGGAGCCAGTTTAATGTGAGCAGGTGCTAACTAACTAACTTTATGAAGAGGAAAGGCTTTTCCCTCCGAAGGGGAACATGCATATGCGAAAATTTTTGTGAAATACGATGAAAAGCTTCACCGTTTTCAGAGGTTCGTCCTAAACTTGCGGCGCAACAACGGCTACCTGCTTGGGCAAATCGGGAATGCCGATCAGACGCCGCTTTACTTCGACATGCCTGGCACCACAACCGTCGAGAAGAAAGGGGCGAAGCAAGTTCGCGTGCTGACATCGACCCACGGTAAAACTACAGTGACGGCAATTCTCTGTTACACGTCAGATGGGCACAAGCTTCGCCCGTACCTCATATTTAAATGGAAGACGCTCCCGAAAGGAGTCGTTTTTTCGAGTGATGTGATCGTGCGGGCCAGCGAGAAAAATAGGTGCGCGTTGCAATCGATGTCTTACATTTTTTTTTTTTTTTTTTCGCGGTGAAAATCGGGTGCGCGTTACAATCGAGGGCGCGGTAGAATCGAGTAAATACGGTAATTTTGTTTTGTTTATCAACTCTCGGATCTGACTCGTTCTCTAGACCACAGCCGGCGTCTGCTGGCGCGCCAAATAGGACCACTTTTAAATTGTCCATGCTGTCGTGGTGCAGTTCAAGGGGCCAGTACTTCAGCTCTTAGAATTAGCCTGGTGATCGCCTCCCTAATTAACAGGACCTGTGACACATACAGTCTGCTCTAGCCTTCATGCACTCATACACAGTGTTGCTAGAACTGTGCAATGCACTGTCAGTAGTAAAAGGACGTCATTGCCAAAAATTGCGCCCCCCCCCCCCCCCCCAAAAAAAAATGGCATAAGGCAGGAGTAACAAGTGAGGCAGATTACCTCAATTCCATCGAATGTCATTTTGATGACAGGTACAAAAGCCTCTTCAACAGCCTGCAAAAAGAGAGGTCACAAATATGAGCCACGCAAGCACGCACACAAACAAAAGCACAAAGCGACCCGTCTGAGGCAGATGTTGCCATTGCGTTTTCGAAACCACATTTAGCAATTTTGAGTTACAATGCTGGACAGGAAGTGCACGTACATTTGTTTATATTTGCTTAAAGAAACACACAACCCTAACTTCATTGTGCTCCGGTAATGCAATGAGGAGGAACTCACCCGGAGGTCCTTGACCTCCTCCTGTTGACGGAGTAGCTCTACAAACGAAGTGAAGAAGTCACTGCGCTCTATGTGTCGTGGTGCCACGCACAGGGTATCAATATCAGCCCCTGAAAAGCACAAACAATACCACGCTTATGGGTGTGCAACGTTTCAAGAATTGCTCACACTGTATCAAACCCTGTCCCATTCTATTCTCTCTTCAAATATAATAGCTGCTATTCATAAGCAGGGTGCCACAGCCGAAATACAATTTGGGGCAATTTTTGGGAAAGCAAGATGTTTTTTTGAAGCACTAAAATCCAAATTTAGAGCAGATTACAGGAAAAAAATACATTTCTGAAATGCGAAATTCGGAGCAGTAAAAGAAGGAAACTCACCCTTAGTGTGGACTCCGAGACGGTACGACCCAAATGTGTAGATCTTGCCACCAACGTTCTCAGCGACACTAGACGGCATATTCTGCACCAGATTAGGGCACCGACACTTTTGAGTATACCATAATAGCATACACTTCACCTGACGCAACAGAGTAGGAGAGCAGCGCTGATTAAAAGCATCGCGACACTGCGCAAATGCATGAGGTGGGGTCAGTACGCACAAGGAAATAAAGTCGCTTAAGTGAGAACTCTTTCACAAAAGCAAAAGCACCGCTGTTACGGCCCTTCGCAGGTGTGCAAAGATACCAAGACACTGCTGCCAATGCTCTGCCTTGAAGTTCCCTCACATAAATGCTCATGGGATGCCAGATTGCATATCATCTGCTACAGACCAGATCATTATCAGCAGAAAATACTTGCACTATTTTAAGAAGCCAGAAGTAGCATCACAAGTTACAGAAAATCTTATATCCTCACAAGACTCAGTGTGAATTTCGGGTAATGAATTTTTTTAACGCTTTCTCTGGGTGCACGGATGAAAAGTGTAACGTAGGTTTCCTAAATTTCGTGTTACTTGTCATGCTCCATGCTGTCCACTATATTACATTATAGGGTATTTTGGTGGGAGGGGGGGAGAGAAGGTATGGGGCACGCAAATGTGTGTTGCGTTTTTATAGTTCTTGCGAACAAAAATAGACACTGAAGTATGCATAAATACATGCAAGAATTCGTAAAAACTTTTACCCACTTCCTAGGCCGCTGGTGTAAAATGTCACTCGTGCTCAATCACCATTTCTAATGATCCTGAAAAGGCGAGAAACGCCGTGACTGACCATATTGCCTAAACAGGTGCACAGGTACCAGCAGCAGCTGAAAACGTGCTTTTAAGAGACCGAAGCGCCTCAAGAGCCACTGCGTGCCACCCACGTTCTATTGTTTAATATATTGGACCAATTTCTAATTGCCAATTCTCAGGAAAATATTAGTCAATATGGCTAAATGTACACAAGGTTCAACGTTCTAATTTAGGTACAGAATTCAATTATGGAACTTTTACCTTCATTATCTTTCACAATCAACATACAATGACAAAGTGAATTATGACAAGTGCTCTCAAGGTAGTTAATGTTTAACAATATGTCCCTCGAAGCCGCCCAGACTGCCGCAAAAGGTTGAGTAGGAGGCCCAAACACAATAATTCATAGCCATCAGTGCAGCTACAGTCGAACTCCGCTACAACGAAAGCCGCTTCAACGAAACTTCCGCTACAACAAAAAATTCACGATTCCCTGTCAGCAGTCCATAGCAGTCAATGCATACATATTGTCGCCACAACGTACACTTTTTCTTCGATTGTCCTGCTTCAACGAAATTTTAGGATCCAATGCCAGGCTCAGATACTTATTTCTATGCAGTAAACCCTCAAAGTGCATCAACAAAGTCAAACACGCATTGGCACCACCAGACACCACCACTATGAGGACGTTGTTCAGCAAGCAGGGGCGCCACCATTGCTTGATAGCGATGGCAATGAAACTGCCCTGCTTTTGTTTTGCCACTGGCTTGCTTTTGAGCCGCAGACGATCTGAAGCTGAAGCTCAGTTCATGGTTTCCTTCTCGCAGCTGCTTGGCGCAACTGTGGCGCAACCCCTTTTCAGATTCCGATGCTTACCATTATGTTCGCGCTTGGCCAGTGTGGTAAACCGCCGCTCCACGATACCCTGCCTCCACCACCTCTGCGTTGTCGGACACTTTTGGCGGCGGACAGCTGCTGGTGTTAACGTGTTAATGCAACTGTTTGGTTCGTTCACGAAAGAGGTTTTAGGAGTTGTTTGAGCGTGCTTTTCACTATGGTCTCGCTATGCATAGGTGAGAATCACGTAATGACGCTGCTGGGAAAGAATAGCAAGCAGTGGACATTTTTTGAATTTTGAGAATAAACGTTTCTTTGTTTTGCTAGCTCAGATCAGCTATATTTCTTTCGATTTCACTACAACGAAATTGTTTCCTTGCCCCGTCAGTTTCGTTGTACGGGGTTCAACTGTATTAGGAGATTGGTGGTGTGCCATCACTAATATTGAGAACGATTTCATTCAAATTACACAAGTTTAAAATAATAACTTAACAGGAGGTTAATGTTAAACATCAACGTTTAAAGAAACAATATCATCTGAAGCCCACGCCTGCTTACATCTAAATGCTCCAGTATGTCCAGTGTTTGCAATCGTTAAGAATGCATGAGCATCATCAATATAGGCAGTTTTGTTATGGCAATAAAATGGCACGATGTACTGATTGCATGAAAACCTAACCTAACCTACACTTCATAGCCACAACTGTTCATTAGCAATATAGTTTGTGGCACACATTGAGTAATGTAGCTGTAGAGTGTGTCGCAGGCAGCATAGCTCAGTGTCCCATCCATAATGCGATGGGCAGTACATGCATAAATACAAGTGTTAATAAAGCACACCCAATGTTACAAGGTTGAATGTGTCACCATAGTGTACATACGTCTTCATTGGTGTTTTTATCCATATTAAAACTGCAGTTATGCTTGGAGGGGGAGAAAAAAGTGCAATTACAAACCTTATGAAGAAAACTTAGATTAACCTTTCATGGAAACAATAGGAGAAAAAATGAACACGAAGCTCACCTTTTTAACACTGACTTCATAGATCCACTTCTTCACAAGCTGGTTGATTTTTGACAGCACATCCATCCTAGGCAGCATAAAAAACCAGGCAGAACGATATCGGGGACAGCTCACACCATGACAAGCATTTCAACATGGACCAGCACATGCAAAAGGCCTTTCACCAATACATCAAACAAGTGCAATGGCTGGCATGCAAAAAGCTCCCTTTCACACAATTGCTATAAAATAGCTAAGATGTTGATATATTTGCCACTCAATGCTTTTGCACATGAATGACTGTGCTGTGGGCCTCCAATCTGTCGACAGAATGGATGCAAAAACTTGTATAGATCGTGTGCGCACACCGACAGAAGCCACATTCGCTGGGCTGCTTTCTTCCGCTGGGCTGCTTTCTTCAGCCCAAATGACAATGGCACTTCTGCACAACTGATGCCACACAACACGAGAAAGGGCTCGTCTTCCAGATGAGTCAATCAACGGCACCAATGCTGTCTTTCACCAATGAATAAACAAGGCTTTAACACACGCACACACTTAAGCACAAGAAGCACATTATCCACACCACACACACAACACAGACAGGCAGCAGATGGTGAGCACCTGTGTGCCAGCTCCTCCTCAGACTCAAACAAGCCGAACTGGCGCAGTGTCTCTTCCAGTTCCTCAGTGCGCTGCAGGTCGCTGGGCTTAGGCGGAGCGGTGCTGATGGCCGAGGTCATGCCCAGCGTCTTGTCCGGCATGCCGGCAGCCGAGCCTATCTGCTGCGGTGGCTGCAGGGCTCCACCGCCATTGCCACCCAAGAGGTCCCCACGGCCCCCTGCCACAGGGAAGCTGCGTACAAAGAACACATCAGAAAGGCTTTAGGAGTAAAAAGTTTTGTTTACAACTTCTTAACAGTAATTTGTAGCTTTGCTCCTGGTGATCACATAATTAAATCGTAAATAACTGAATGCATTATATAATTAAAGGGACGACACAGTCCTTCATTGCTTTTCTGTTTAGTGTCGCAATAAAAGTGTAATCTTGCAGGGATTTTTCTGTGGAGCACGTAGACATTTTTAAAACAGAATTTCGCTATCTGAATTCGATCTTTAATCGGTGCCCATAACACTGGTCGGTCGGGGCGATGACCATTGTACTGCCGTAAAAGTCAAAAACAAACTGCATGCGGTCATTACAGGCTTCGTCAAGTTTTGTTTATTAATAAAACAAATGCTTTAGTAGTCATTTAAGGCATGCACACACTTTGTAGGTCTCATTAGCGGCAGCAAAAGCAGCACTTGAGTTCCTCCACCCTTTGCATGCAGGCAAGCAAACACAGCGCCGCCAGGCACTTCTTTGAAAGTGTGACAAAGAAAAGCAAGAATTAATCTTTGGCACTGCCTAAAGAGCGTGAAATACAATCTCAAGTTATAGATGTTTGTTTTTAAGCAAAATAAGTCTACCTTCTCAAGATCTCACTAGAGCCACAATAAAAAGTTTTCGGAGCGGTACACAGCCCCTTTAATAAGAAACACCATCAATCCATAACAATGATGCGACAGTTCAAAATGCCTGCCAAATTACCATAAGAAACTAGCGCCCCACAGCGAGGCAGCGCCTGAGACTACATGCACTCAAGCTGCGGTGACACTGAATGCGCTGTTTTCAAATTGGGGGACCCGCCAGCAGTGAACAGTGAAACAATGTGGGTGCTGCGAGCGCGTCCCCCTCGGAAAAAAAAAGAAATGCATCCCTGGCGTAAGCAGCCAAAACCACATTGTGAGCAGCATGACAACAGAGAGAAGCAAGAAACATCAGTCCTTGCCACATGCCAGTCGGAGTATTGCGCATGCCCCGCAATTGTTCTACAAGGACCATACTCTATTATGGAACGTAACGTCTCCGTCTACATCGAACCAGAGAAGATGACGATTGGAACTGATTTAGATGAGCACTCACCTTTACTTTCAAACCAAACTAAAATATTTTATAGGCAAAGCTCATCACTAATAATTGGTCAGAAGTGCCCCCGCCCCCACCTGCATGCAGCGAAACGACGCATCTAGAGTTTCTTAATTTGGTGTCGGGGGGTCCTTGAAGCTCTTCGTTGCGAAAGCTCGGCAGCACCTAGCACGCGCAGCACAGTAACTCTATCGGCACGCACTCTTCATTACCCTCCTTCTCTTTTTCTTAAGAATGACTGTAAAGAATGAACTTGGTGACGTACAGTCAAGAGATGAGACGTGTAAAATTTTCTGTTCCTGCAGCAAGTTGGAAAATAATAAAGCCCGTGACCTGCACTTTTTTGGGTTGACACGTTGGATGTGCAATGTTGTAGTTTCTTCAATACATGAGCCTTCCCAAGAAAAGAAAAAAAAAAAGAAGCCCACCACAGATAAGGGCAAGAAAAAGAAGAGAAACAGGCAAGAACACAGACAAGACCTTGATGCAGTACTGATTGACACCATGAAAATCTGGGCATGTTAATTATACCCTTGCTAATTAATACTATGTAAATAACTTAGGTCAGCCCCGAGCTCTGCTGTTAGTCCAGCCTTGAACAACTAGTGCAAGCTCCTCACATTTTCTTACACGTTCCCTTGCACGGCTGCCATCGCCGTCTGCGTTCTCAATCGCATACTACGCCTTTGCTAACCTAAAAAACTAACAGATCCCATGCACTGCGGGAATGAATTTCATGCGAAACAGTAGGCAAATAGCAGCCTATGCTGCATTTTTAGCCAAGCGTCACAAGGTAACCGATGTGCTTATGTAAATTGAGCAATTTCGCACATATTAAGGGCTAACCAATTTACCAAGCACACAGTTGGGTAAAAAGGCAGCCTGTGGCCTTATTTAACAACCGAGCTCACGCTAGAGTAAAGTTGTGTTTTATCACGGGCATGCAAACACTCCAGTGCAATGATGCAAACAACAGAAGCAGCTATCGTACGCGCATTTGCGGAACACTTTACTATTGCAGCGCAAAACGAAGATGTGCATAATATTCGATGTTTATTACATGGACATAAAAGCAGCCAGCCAACACTGCACCTATGAATAACATTATTCCGACATGATGCCTACAGCTTGCTGCAGAGATTCCTTTTGGAAGTTCAAATATGTCTCTAATGCCTATTATTTTCACTTTAACAAGCTTCACAACAAATTTTCTATCTACGGTGTGAAAATCTGCTTCAAAAATCATATGCACTTGATCCTGGCAACATGGCGAAAAGAATTTGGTATGCACAGCTTTTAAAAATTAAGCCACTGCAGGTAACGCCTTGGTAACACCACTGATTCAAGATGCACTTAAAAACTCCAAAAGGGGGTTTATTGTATCTATAACCAACAAAGAAGCAGTGATGCAAGGGAGAGCAGAAGGTGGTAGTCAGAAGGCGATTTCAAAGCTACATAAATCTGACTCTTCATTCGACACAGTGTGCATAGGAAGCACATAGGGAGGACTGAATGAATTTGTTATTTGCATTCGTTCATTAACGATGCGAATAATGATGATGGTGCGGCAAACCCTTTAAATCGGGTAGGCGTGGAATGCCCTAGCCAACAAGACAAATTAGTATTAATAATAGTATTTGGTTTTCAACGTCTACACAGTGGATGGCTTCGAAAACTTAGACCATATGGTGATCTTTAACTTGCACTGACATCACACAATACACGGGCCTCTACTACCATTTCGCCTCTACGGAAATGCAACCCCTAAGGCTGGGATCGAACCTGCCTGTAAACAAGACTGTGAAATAGTGAGTGCCCCCTTGTGTACACTTTAGAAACACTTGGAAGTTGGCTTTTCCTACAGCAATGCTTTTCTCACCAGAAACCTCATTCGCAGATTACTTTTATAGCTCCAAGCATTTTGAACCCTCCATATTTCAGCAAAAGGGGGGAGGGAGTAGCAGGAATATCATGCCTCATTTTGTTCCCCCTCTGTTAACAAGGCAACAATCTAAATAAAGGAAGACAGATTTGTGGAGAATGGCAAAAATAGTCTGCCTGCTAGTCTACGGTGGTGGCTATCAGGATTGAAAACAACTTGCTCGCGCATGCACCATCCCTATTTTGCAAGCTGTCCATTTGGTACACAAACACAGGCAGTGTTTCCTTATTTTACAGTGCTAGCAGTGGAACAAGAACTTTGGTGATGTAACGAAGCATGAACCACAAGTTCGATCTGAACAACTCGCTCAACTAAAATGTCTAGCCAGTCCATAGCTGTGAGTTGTAAAATTGCACTGTGTGCACATGCCAACGGCTTCTGTAGGCACTGCTCCTGCATCAAGCAGGTTATGGAGGATATGCAACGCATTCCTAAATTTTCTGTGTGTGTGTGAAAAAGTTCTTCCCAGACAGCTTTCACACTTCTAACCCTCCATATGCCAAGCACCTGGGAGACCTTGCAAGGTGCTCTAGGAATTTCACACAATACCCTACACATAGCAACAAAACTGCATGGAGCAGTATTTAGAAAAGCGGGGAACACTGTTGGTTGACTGCCATCTGCAGAGCAACAAAAAATCAATTCACATGGCAGCAATACGAAAACAAGGGGGCCCTGTCAATTGGCTGTCATGTGCAGAGCAACAGAAAAAAAATATCGCAGCATATCGACCGCGTGAATGATGATGAGTGGGGCAAACCGTTCGTCTGTCTGTGGATATGCTGTGCTGACTACGCTGGAGGGACGAACTGCCTTAGACCATATGGTGGTTTGCCCCTAAAAGGAAACAGCCCCAGGAGCACCCCAGCCACGGCATGCAAACAGTACCAGTTCATGACAAGCTAGTCATGACCAGTCATGATTGTTCATCATGCAGCCATCTTATATACCACATCAACTTTGGTATTAATCCTATTAGTGATACGTTCTGTGGAGCACCAAGTCGTAGGCGGCTAGATGCGACTAATATGCTCAAAGTCGCCGAAAGTTGGCTAAGACATGCTTCGCATTTAAAGGCAGGGTTGAACGTTGAATGGACAAGTGCACCGCGTGAAGTATCGGGTTTGACGCCCTGGGCCTGCAGGGTACCTTCGCCCACGTCTCTGCTGAAACCACCACTCGTTCTGCTATGGAGCTGACAAACTTTTCTTTACGCATGCGCTGTCAACAATCCTGCGAATCGCCTGTGGCGATGTGTCACTTGCTGCGCCTACGGTTACAAGTCTGAATCAGACTGGCAGAGCGTAGCGGAACCGACCAGTCGCTTTCGCAGTCACTTCGCGAAAAACGCGCACGACAGGTCGACGACGCAATCGCAAGTGCGGAGGTTTTCCACGTGCAAGGTAGAGACCCTCGAAGCTACCGCTAGGCAGAAGGTCTGCAAGCTTGCGCAACCGTCCACAGACGGCAGCCAGACAACAAATGCACCAGCACACTGAGCAACCACGCGATGGCTATGAACACGTTTGCGCCAGCCCTACTACTGGACAGGCTGCTTACGCAAATCGACTTGCTAGCATCGCACGATCCGAGGAAGCCACGCGGTTATCGGAAACACTTCCGACGCACCCAAACTACGCATCGAAGTTGAGGCGTTGAATGAATGAACTGTCGTGACTCGAGAATGGCGCTTCGCTTCCGGCATTTCCTGGGACATTTTTTTTTTGACCCTCTAAAGGATGAAAATGCAAGACAATTAGAAACGTTCGGAATTACGCAGCGCGTAGATTGCCACCACAGTCATAGCGTAGATCAGCAGCCATGCTGCGGCGGTGGCAGATAAGCGGCTCTCGAAGGCAACGAACTCTGAGAAGGCAAAAAAGGACGGAGGTGGCTATTTCGGCAGCGCCGGGTTTGCTTTTTGATGTTTAGACTGCGCGCGCCAGTAGACTGAGAACAGCGTAGCAGGCGTCCCGACGGGCGGTTATTACTACGGCCCGACGGCTCTAGTGACAACTGGGTTAGGTTACCCCGTGACGCTCGAGGCGGCGATAAGGAGGAACGGGTTCGGCGTCGACACTTCGTAGTTTCGCTTGAAACATGCGTCGCGAGATGACGCACTTCAAAAAGCACGTAACGGCACGGCCTTAACCTAACACTTGACGCTACGACAGCGGCTCAAACGAAGGGCAAACACCCCGAACACTCGCGAAACGAGACATTCCACTACGAGCGAGAAGGAACGCTGCTTGGCACCAGCCGAGAGGTTCAAAGAGAGAGCTTCGATAGGCCTACCGGACGTTTTCCCAAAGAACCATTGTTCGCTGCGCTGTGTCCGGCACGAAAGGAGGTCGCCGTCACTCCAAGGCCCGTCAGCTGCCCCGTCTGCGGCGATTCGTGCGATGCTCGGCGGCCGCGCAGTGCGGCACCGGGACGGAGACACTCCGAAGGTGTTGCTTATTGTTCGTGCGTGCACTAGGCCTAACCGCCGTGTCGGGCTCGCTGGCTGGCTTGACGCAGAGCGGTGGTGGTGTGCGACCGGCCAGCAGCGAGCGCGTCGCCCTAGTGCGCCGCCACTCACCTCGACATCGCCGTGGCTTTCTGCCCGTGGCCGCCGCGCTATCCCCGGATGCTGCTGGTCTTTAGCCTCGAAAAGAACTTCATGGGTGAAAATACACGGCGCTCGGACCGCGTATCATTGCGGGTAAAAAAAATTAAAAGCGATCTCTCCGACCGTCTGCTGTGAACTTGTGTTGTAATGCAGCGACTTTCAGTAGAGGAAGCAAAAGACGAGAAAAAAATGGTGTTGCCTCTCTCGACCACCAGGGCAACACCAAATTGTGTCACCTTTATAAACGTTAATAAAAACGCCTAAACAATTGTTACTCACATATTGAATATTATTACCTCAGATTTCAAACTGATGTTCTTGAGACAATTTTTTAGTAATAATACAAATCTTGAAGGCTCTGCTTTTAAATAGCTAACGTCGTAACGGCAGTCTTGTTTACAGTTCGCTTCTCCACCACTACAGTAACTTTGGCGCTACCGTTTTAAAGTCAGTGCGCTACCTGTTATAAAGCATCATCTAAACAAAACAAACGTACTGCCCACAGAATGCTGCCGCAATCGTCTGCGGCCCCCTTCGGGAAAATCTACGGGACGTAATCTGTGTTCGCGCTGTTATGATCGCCCATCGTTGTGCGCCAGTTTCCTGGAGCGAAGCAGCCGTGGCACGATGATCCTCTCGCTGCTCAGGCTGCCGCTGACCGTGCTCAACAGCGCCAGGCAGCTGGTATCGCAGACTTTCTTCGTGGCCGTGCTGTTCTCGGTGATAACGTGGACTTCGATACTGCTGTACGGTGTCTTCTACTGGAACTACATTCCCAAGTCATCGCACGTCTTTCCGGTGCACCTGCACTTCGAGTGAGTTTGAAGTACCGTGAGGAATTTTTTTTCCCCTTTTCGTATCGCGACCTTGGGGTGCTCGTGGACTCCAGCTGTTTTTCCGGTAGTGGCGTTGAGTAGTGGTTTCGGAAGCGGCAAACGAGGTCGCGTATAATGCGATTTGTGTCGCACCTTTCTGAGCGCTTCGTTTTCGCAGGTCCAGAGCATGTCCCGCTGGCTTTTGCGACTTCCTGATGGCCAACGTGACCATCGTGAGGCCGGGACAAGACGACGTACGTGTTCTTCGCACACACTGCGCGTGTATATCGTTTGATCACCTCCCCTTTTCAACGATCGCGCGTTATCTTGACGGCTTTGTGCGCCAGTTTCAGCATCCGTAACGGGATTATCGATATCGCGCTTCATGTGGTTATCGCTTCCAGTACCTGGCCAGAGGACAGCGCTACAAGATCTACCTGGATCTTGAGATGCCGGAGTCCGAGGCAAACCAGAGGATCGGTGAGAAGATTTCGCGCTGCAATTTCGTCCAGTTTGGTTCGCAGAGCATGAATGGAGAGCTCGTAAGAGACTAGCTGATGTCATCCTATTTTGTCCCATTGAACTGAAGTGCTGTGCCCTGTGTTGTCAGACAAGAACCGGTAAAAAGGTTCTGCTTTTCTTTTTTAACTTGCGACAGTTGCTTGTGGGTGGAAAAATCACACTATACACTGCGAATTTCTTACTGCTTCGTGTTGGTGACATTTAATAAACAGTTGATCAGATTTTAAATGAACTTGCGCAGGTATGTTCACAGTTGTACTCGACATGATCAGTGAAGACGGGGAAGTGCTGAAGTCTACGCACAGATCGGTAAGGCTGCACGCTGATGGTCTAACTCCGTTCACTCTAGTCGCAACCTATTGAGGCCTCTTGGCTCTTTTTTTGTTTTTCTCCTTGCCAATGCATTGGTATGTGTGGAATTGGCAGCTTCGTACAAAAGCCCACCGAACACACGTGCCTGCCTCATTTCCATTCGACTTCGTATTCCACTGCTTTCTTGCCTCGTCTTATTTGCATGCTTCACTTCCGCCATGCCCTGCCGGATGCACTCACAGCACTTATCGCCTGTCAGTTTGCATGCCCCTGTACTTTTGCACTTGTGTCGGCCTGTTGCGTGCATTCTATCTCCCGTGTCGGTCCCTGAAAGCTGTAGCACAGCAAGAGCAGCACATGTTAATCTACGCTCCAGAACAACCAGACTCAGTGGCTTATAAAGTCATGGTGTCAATTGTCTACAGTGACTACGGTTTGCTTAATCGACTGCAAGTGCCGAATCATTCCAAAAACTGCGCCCTTGGAACGCTTTTACGAAAACTAATAACACTGTAGCGACAGCGTTTTGCTGTATGTTTGTGTAGGTCAGCACTCGCATCGATGTACATACTTCTTTGTTGCCTCCTACACTAATGGAAGCCAGTTTCATAATTACCTATGCCGAACGTAGCCTGCAATTGTATTGTGTATATACCATGACAGTGTCTGCATCACGTGGCGTGGTTTATCACAACGAAAGGGCGACAATAGGGTCACAAAGAAAAGTGCGAAAAGAGACGGCGTCTTATAGAAAGAAGCCCTGCCATGATGGTCTAGTGCTAATGGCGCTCCACTGCTAGCCCAAAGGTAGCAGGATCGAATCTCGGCTGTGGCGGCTGCATTTTTGATGGAGGCTAAAATGTTGGAGGCCTGTGTACTTAGATTCAGGTGCACGTTAAAGAGCTCTAGGCAGTCAAAATTTACAGAACTTTTCACTATGACGTTTGTCATAATTATACCGTGCTTTACAATGTTAAATTCCAGATATTATTATTATTAATGTAGAATGAAAAAAAAATTTTTAAGTAGCTATGAAATTTGACACTTGAATTTAAGAAAAATGAGTGTGACACATCACCAAAACCAGCGGTGAGATTTTGCAATGTTTGTATCCCGAAGGTATCCATTTATTAACATACGTTGTGCAAATTCAAATAATCCAAACCGAAAAGAAAAAATCACCGTCTCCTGTCTGGAAGTCCAGGTCTATGAAACTCACTTGTACAATACCTTGCATCCACGTCCGCATGCATTGAACTACAGACACATCACACGGGCAACCAACTAACCTTTCTGCGCACGTTCTAATGTGCTTTGATTTGTGCTGATTAGCGTCCACATTGTAACGCTTTCTCCCCTCACTAATTTGTCCTCTAACAGGGTGTTCTTCGTTACAAGTCTATGCTCGTCAAACTCTTCTCCACGTTGGCTTACATTCCGATGCTCCTCTTTGGCTCGGCAGAGGAGAAGCAGACGGTGTCTCTCCAGCTGTTTGAGAAGTATGTGGAAGACTATGTAAGTTATACATGTCACGCTTCCATTCATCATTTTTTTATATTTTGAATGGTGCATTATGATGACGGTGTTCACAAAATGTCCTGAATATAAAGACAAAAAGAACACACGCACTCAAAGCTCATCATAATAAAGTTGAACCTTATAGGAAAGTGAGTTCGCTATATCGAAAAATTCGTTATAAAGGTATATTCCTAGAACTATGTCAAATGCAAGAGTACTCTTCATATACTTTGTTATAACTGCAATTTCGTTATATCTGAATTCTTCATATCTAGGTTTGCAGTGTACAGCAGGGCCTGCATGGAACTTCAACCTAGTACTGCTTATACCAAACGATAATCTCTTATACGCTTTGAGCACAAATTGCACTGTACTTCCTGTGCCATTTGGTAGTTAAGTGCTCACCCTGTTGTGTGTTCCTACTGTTTTCAGTTTGTGGGCATTGTCAGGATGAGCCAATGAGTGCAAATTAGAGACTACTGGTTGCTCCTCACTAGGTCTTGGCAATGCAAAAATAAAGTGCATTGGCGAAGCAATGCTAATGGCATCAAGTCAGTTGCGTGCTGCTGCAAAACAGCTGAAATTTCTGGCTTTGATGTGTTTGATCGTTCAAAGAATACACCACATGGCCTAGCGAGGGACCCCTTTTACGCCATATAAGCATGTGTATCGAAACACTATTGGTGTTGTAACTTTCACATAGACACACTCATGACTGGAGGGATAGCGGCAGATGCACCATGTTCCTAGTACCATTGCATTTGATAGATGTGGTCGCATAAACCAAACAGCTGTGGCTCATGTAGATGTATGTTGAACAGAGCTATATAAATCGCAACCACAAAAATGTTTGAGTTTATTTGTAGAGAAGATTCACAAACTAAAAGTTTCGAATTCTTTGAACAGCGAGTTCAAATTGCGGTCCTCAGTTTCAACTTGTAGATGGAGACAAAAATTGGCTTTATTGAAGATCCTCTCATGTCTGTAGATTTGTTGCTCATGAGAATGTGCACGGTAGTACAGTGATAGGCCTAGCCAATGTGAAGCAAGTTTAGTATCAATAGTCGCATGGTATTGATACTCATGCCTAGTTCCAGATGCTTATAATGCTAAACCAGTGATGAAAATATAAAATCTTGAAAGATATTGTGCTTACAATTTTTTCACGTCTGTTTGTGTTGTAAACATTTGGATCAAGCAAGAACCAACTGGCCCAACATGTTTTCGTACTCATACCTATAGACACTATCTAGAGATGCTCCTCAATGTATATTAAAACGCCTTGATGATGTTGATGCTGCATTGGATTTCACAGCACAAAACCTATTTTTGTATCAAATTATTATTTTTCAGCTTATTAAGCATAATTGCTATCCATGTGAAGCTGCAGCAGTGTTTTTACAACTTGGAAAATGCACGCCAGTACTACTTCTTATAGAGCAGCAAACCAAACATAGCCTTTGTATTTCCACTTACTGCAGGCAGCACTGCGGAGTCGTAAACAGTATCATTAGATTGTGATGTCATGACTTGCAGATTACATTGATGTGAGAGGAGTGAGGTCAATGGATTGTGCTCGAAGTATGATGTAATAGCTCAATTGCATTAGAATGAAGCGTAAAGACTAGAGTTTCTTTAGTATTGCAGCTTCCCAAGGAGTGTTGCGCTGACAGTCGTGCCATGTTTTTTGCACTTCGGATCTCTCGAGTAACATTAATCGTGCATTTTCAGTCAAAGCCGGCCACGCAAGCAGGCCTGGTCATCAGAAATAGCCACATCGAGGTCTACACTGCAACACTAAAAATATACGCAGATTTCACTGGATTAAGGTAAGCACAGTATTTGTAAATTACACTAGTTCAGTTATTGCGATAGCATCAGGAATAGCAAATATTATGAGCATACAAATAATCTGCTTGTTTGTTCCTAATGTTGAAATTAGAAGTGCTAGGTTGTGAGTGTCAGTTTGTAGTTATTTTTGTTTGTGCACTATTTGAGATTCAATGAATTTCTGGTGCCATTTGATTCGTATTCAATTTGGCCTTGGAAATCGCTATTTGCACACTCTTTACTAGAAAGCGAATAGATGAAAGGCCACTTAACAGTTGGCTCCCATCGCAACCATTCTGCGTTGTTCCCTAGGGCTGCACGCCTTTTGTTGCGTCTTCTGTCAGATGCTGCAGATCGGCATTCCTGGGAAGGGAAGGGCTCTCATTCTAGCTTCGCTGATGGCAGGTACCTCCTCTACAACTGGCCGCTCTTGTCGGCCGTCGTGGGCATATCGACCAACTTTTTTTTTGTGAGCCTGGTGGCACTGCTCTCTTGGAACCACCTCACTCCGGCCAAGCCAAAGCCGCGCCGCCGCTCCTCGGACGCCAGGAAGAAGGGCGCTGAGAAAGCCAAAGTGGACGAAAACGTCGACGAGACCGAAGGTACGGACATGCCGTCGCTACTTGCAAAGCTGGAGTTGGAATGGAAAGACTACGACTTGGGCGGTTCGGAATACCCTCCGCCCTTCGAATGTTTTCCCAGTGAAACGCCTCTCATTCGACCTTAGGCACAGTAGTTTGTATTGGTTACAAAAACAACCCATGCAGTTGTTAGTATGAGGAAATTTAAAAATAAAGCACTACAGCTTTTGTTACCTTGTGCCTGTGTCCTTGCCAGCTATACTAGGCAACAACTTTTCTTGGCCCTGAAGGGAAAGCTACAAAGGCAGAGCTTCTGCACATGTAGCACTACGCGAAGTAGTCTGTTTTGGCGCGCGTCTCGTAACGCTGTGGAAAGTGATGGGGTCGCGCCATCAGCGTTTCCTGTAGGCGCAGACCCCGCCTAGCGTTTGAGGTGCACGTGATAAAGCGGGACTTTTTCACGCGTTCAAAAACACGAAGTCACGACAGATAAATTTTAAAAAATACGAATATTTTACAGGTGTGAGCTGCATTCTCCACGTGGAAAAGTAAAGGAGGAACATTTCTATTTCACGTTGAAAACACGGGCGCTACTTTGGAACTATCCTGACTCGTGGTAAGACGCCCGTGATTTGGCTCCGTAGGTTTCCCTTCAGTGCCAAGAAAAGTTGTCGCCAAGTATAAGACGGGTCATGTTTATGGTGCATAACGCGCAATGTTGTGAGATCTGGTACGCAGTACTAGTGTCAGTGTAAATTGCTGGTACAGCGCGATGTCTCCACACATGCATTCGAGACTTGGGCTCGGCTGCCTTAACATTACATGCAGCGTAAGAAGTACTTGCACGTGGTGCTGCATCAGCATGAATTGATCTTTGCAAAGAAACAAGCATGATGTATGCATCATATTCGACAGAGTGAAGAGTACTGGCGTATGGTAACAGCACTGTTGTTAGTATTACTCTTGACTGTCCATACTCTCATTCTGATGCAAACAACGCAATCGTTAGACATGCTTTGTGGAATATAGAAAATCTTCTTCTGGTCATTCTTCTGTGCAAAGAATGTGTCGTCTCAGTTTTCATGTCAAGTCTTCTACAAATAAAGATTTTTTAAAATTTTTTGTGACAGTGCCAAGGCCAAATGAATGTTTGAGATTTACACTGCCATCTTTTACAAATAGTCATCACTGAAAGCTTTCACTGTTCTGGTCTGCATAAAATAAAGCGAATATAAGTGTGGTTCCTATGTTTCGTTTGCAAAATAATGTGCGAAGCCAACATTTGCATACACTCAAACCTCAATAAAACAAACCCGAATATAACAAAACATCGGCTATAATGAAGTAAATTAGAAATAGTCTTCAGTAGATATAGTGTTAGGAATCTACCTTTATGTAACAAATTTTTAGTTGTAACAAACATATTAAGCTGTAAGATGCAACTTTTTATAATGGGGTTTGAGTAAATCAATGGCTGGTAGGTTTTCTTTCTTTGAATGGCCGCTATAGAAGCCCACATGCTGCACACAGAACAATTGAATGTTTCCTGCTACTAGTTTTCTGTTTGTATTTGCTTCGGTACATAGTCTTTTAGCAAGTTAAAAAATGCAGTCCAGTATTATTGTACTGCTGCTTCTTTTTTGTTTGGTTGTACTTCAGGTGCTCCCTGTCTCATCGACAATGTGTCCCTCGAACAATTAGTTCTTCCATCACCATGCGTATGCTTAGAGGCTATAGTGCTGCACGACAACCCCAAAGTAATCGTTTAAAGGAAAGCATTTGTGGTGTTGGAATGCCTTCGCTAGAATCTGGAGCAGCAGAAGCACTGAGACAAAGGAGGTGCAGTATGGTAATTGTAGAAGAAAAGAAGCCTCATCGTGAAAAATATGGAAACGGGGCTACTTTATTGCCCCCCGAAGAGCAGTTATATCGCGTCCACTGATGGCTGTTCCGAAATACGCGCTAGGTCCTGTCGTCGTCCTTTTCTTCTAATATTTAACAGTAATACTGTATTGTATTTCTGCAACAAGGTTCGATATGAAAATAATCTATAAACTACAGCGAGAGTGGCAGTAAAATGTGGCCAGAATGGTGCTTTTGGTATTGCAGTAGAGTAACTGAGTATAATACAAGAAAAGTTATATTGTTCTCACTACTGACCCTTGAAAAGCCCAATCTGGTTTCACTGCTGTGCCACTCCATACCCACTTTTTTCTGGCAGGTGACATTCGAGCATAATCGCAACAAAGCTTTTTATTTTTCCTCAATCGAAACGTGTGTGACTGGAGCTTTACGGAGTTCAAGACATTTAAGGGTCTTCCGCACTAAGTTACAACGCATTATCTAGGAAGTCATGGTCAATGATTGTTGCCGCTATTGAGTTTCACTTGAGAGGAACATTTCTGAAGAGTTGGCTGTTGCAACCCAGGCTGAAACTCCACAGAATATACATCTCCAGCGTGCTTTTTATACGACATTGTCCAATGTTGGCGCGCCATTTCGTGTTACAATGTAAATATTTTCTTACAATGCTCTATTGATGAATAGCATGGCACATGTACTTGTGCCATTGGCCGCATCAATGTACTAGGCTGCTGAATCTGCAGAATGCCACTGGCGCATGATCACAGTGCTTTGTTCCACATTATGAAAGTTAACTACGTGCAATTTTACAGTCACCTCTGAAGCATTGCGTAGGAAACACTCTCCGTCTGACTACTGCTGTGCGAAGTAAATGGTCTGTTGTGATCACATGAAATGGCTGACATTAGATAGAACACCCAAAGCACCCTTTGTGTCTTTGGCATTTGTTATCCTTGCAGCTGCATTGTATGATAGCAGTCACATGTCGCTGCAGTGCTTGGCCTGCCATGCTTAACCATTGTGTGCATAATGTAACGTTTTATTCTCCAGCATAATAGTGACCGCAGTTTTTTAGCATCGGTTCCATCTTTTGCCATTCATGAGGCAGAATCTTGGTGTAGCTGGAATGACAATGCGAATGCCATGTCACTAGCATACTGTGACAATACAGGCATGCCTGAGACAATATGCAGGAACAGTTCCAATAAACCTCCAAAGCCTTTGAATTGACGCATTTATAGTACCGTAGCCACTTGGGAACTGAAGCGCTATTCTTAGCGTATACATCTACAATGAAAGCTGTGTAATCTGATGTCACGCATGTTTATTTGCAGCTGACTCGTCTAGCGACGCCAGCTGCGGCCAGCCTGACATTGTCAAGGAAACAGGCGACGCCAAGATCAGGAAGAGGAGAGGTGCGTCCTCCTAGATTACGCTCGAGTAAAAGAGACAGAAAAATATATGACGACATTGAGCATAAATTTATTTTGTCAGGTTTTATGCACCTCCAGTTCGGTTCTTCACTTTTCTTTTTTAATCTAGAGGACCAAACGGTCCCACTGTAATAATGTTCCCGGTGTTTAGTCTGCCAACTCCTGCTCGTGTTGTAGGTTCCTCTTAGGTGGGACGGCACTGGTCCACACCACAGTGACAGACCGTGCTTTCCAGGTACTGAAACATTCCATACACTTGCGTTTGCTAAACTAGCTCATAACTCACAAAGCCTACACATTGCCTATCAAAGTATGTATAAGACCGAAATACGGTACTGAATGTAATACTTAGTTATTGCCACTCAAATATCTTGGCACAATTTTTTGTGTGGTTCTACTTTTGTGAATTCACAAACTTTGTTATGAGTTCAAGAAAAAAATGTTTATTTGGGTGAACTTGTGCTAAGAAAGCGAAAATTCGAACCTCGTAATACACACTGTGCACTCATAGTACCAAACAGGACGGTCAGCTGTCAAGTAATCTGTTAAGTGGTCAAGGACATCGGCTATTTATACGTGTGCTATCAAAGATTCCAGCTTCATTTGCTGGTGGCTGCGTAAGCTCTCAAATAAACTAGACAGTTTGAGTTTTGCACGCCATCTTCACAGAACGATTTCAAACAATCTCGAAGCTACTCATGCATTGCGACACTGTCTGCACCAAGCATTTGCTTACAGTGTTTTCAGGTGAAATCTGAATTGCATCAAAACAAAATACTCATGGCAGTAATGGATGCGTTATGTGTACTTCATGAAGAATGTTGTAAATTGCTGTTTGTTGCTCTCCTTGTGTTTTTTATGAGTGTGTGCAGCTTTTCTTTACACTACTTTTGTCACTGCTGTTCAGTGCTGACGGGTTGAAACTAGTCAATGTAGGACTAGTTAGGGCACATACTTTCCCTTTCACCGTACTCAGTATGTGTTCTATTGGCATGATATTGGCCTGTATGCTTACATCCCCTTCAGTGGCCCGATTTCTAGCAACACAACGTGCTTATCTCAAGGCAATTCAAATACCACTTATGCTTTTTAGGGCCCCTGCAACACATATTCAGGATACCTGGGAAATGCTTCAACTCTACTTGTACTTTATAGATTCTTCAAATTTTTGCAAATTTCTGAAGCAATAACTTAATTAATAAAGCAAGACTTACTGCAAAAATTGTTGCAGGGACCCTTTAGATGTCAATATCCCATCGCAGTCTGTAGCTTATCACATGTTTTGTATTTTTTGCTGTGGTAAACATCAACTTCAAATAAACTTCAGTGGTTGCAGAGTCAGCATCATGCCATAGTCACCACATTTATTTTAATGTTCTGCTTAAAACATCTGTTTCCAGTGCACTCATCTTAATCCTCCCAGCTTCACACCATAGCCAAGGTGCCAGCATTAATGAAGGAGCATTGATAGCCCTTTGCACAAGCTGATGTACGTGACATCTACATGGGTGCTTGTCACAAAGATGCTTATGGCATCCATGAGAAAATTTAGTTTCATGTCAACTAAGAGAGCGTTCAACTTCCAATTTGCAGTTGCACAATGCGCGTCTGCATTGTTTGTTTTGAAATGAGTGAACTATGCAGTGCTGCCAAAACCTGAACTTTCTCTTGACTACCTTGCTCAGAATGCTCCAGTATTCTGGTCTGCATAGCAATGCTAATAGTAAGGCCTGTGACGATTGGCAGATGAAGGCTTGCTCCCTGCTTTCCCTTGTGATCCTTAAGTGATTGTGACACTTAAGGCTGTTACTTGAAGCCTAAGGGAAGGCTAACCAGACAATGTTCTTCCTTCAGCAGAGCTGGACGAGAAGACGGGGAAGACTCTGAGGCAACTCTTTGGGGCAACGTCGCACGAAAGCAGCACTAGTCTCTCTTCAATGGGTGGCGGCCAAGAGGCAAGCAGCAGCACCAGGCAGCGGACATCGACATGAGCCCTAAAAAGTTTCGCAGAGCTTTTACGTTAGCGCTCTTGGATAATCATAGACTTGAAGCTCCTCCTTCACTCTGCAGGATTGAGCACAGAGTCGCCTCTTGACTCGGTACTTGCTGTGTAGTGCCATTGCAAAGTAGCGACAACTTCTGTTGATCGCCAGCACTGCCACACTCTTCCTTCAGTTCCATTGAAAGGCTTAACAGAAGAAATGTCCTTTCTAGAGCACCGGGGCACACGCAGTGCCACAGGAGTCGCACGTCGGCTGTGATAGTTTCTGGTCTGTTATACTGCTCCCGCGCAGGTTGTGCTTCGTTACTTTGTAAGTGAGAGCGTTGCTCAGTTCTATGGCATTGTGTTGCACCTCATGCGTATGTATTGTGCCATGTATGGCACTATGGTTTTGTATGATGAAATAGATATGACTTATGTTGTAATGTTCGATTATACTCTCGTGCCCAAAAGTAGCAGAGAGCTCTCTCCAGTGTGTACTCTGTGTTTTAGTGCAACCTAACGAGATTGTTGTGTTGGTGTCTCACAGTGGGTGTCCTGCAGGTTATAAGTATGTCTCTTTGATCTAAAACAAGTGCTACGCGTGCATTCCCACTAGTGATTGACCACAATTGGCGACCAAGAGATGATTCACTGTGACCAAGGTTCACACGACCTGTCTGTTGCTGCAAGCAAGTGCGTCACAATCAGTTAGTCTTATTCACATCTGCTCGCAGTGTGGTTGCAGCATAAAATGAGTGACAGCGTGTATGTACCTCTTGCCCGTGCATTGCAGGTTGGTCTAGGAGCATTGTGAGTGCAGTTGCGTGACCAAGAAGCCAAGCTTGCAAGCGACTGACCCGTGAGCATTCGATTGCTCGTTTTATGGGTGAATTCTGACACTTTTGCGAGCACCTCAAAAACTTGTATTGGCTTGTGCAAATGTCAAATCCTCATACAGCCAGCTGATCATTCCTCAGTATAAGCAATATCTGCCATGACTTTTAGTTCGTGTCATATTTGCATTCTAGCTCAAGTTGTGTGCCAGTTTGTTTTTTCTGCCAGCGAAACTTGTTTGAGATTTTAAGCTTTGCCGTAATTTTCACTTGACAATTGTGCGGGAGTTCACTTGTGTTTGTCGGGGATGAAATAATCCGTGCTGGCAGGCAGTCAGAACGTCACAGTCCTTCAGAAATCCTTTTTGTGAAGCATTCCCCCCCCATTTCATCCGCGGTGCATAAACTTCAAGGAAAACAACCCAAGCATGGCAACGCAGCCTACTCCTCCGCTTGTACAATAAGCATTCTGTCTTGTATGGTTTACATGCATAAACCACCAAATGCTGGAAGCCCGTGTAGCTTTAATGCATCTGAAAGCACATGAGATGGTCAAAATTTCTCGAGCCCTCCACTACAGTCTGTCTCGTAATCATACTGTGGTTTCGGCATCTAAAACCCCAGGAGAAAAAAATAAAAAGCAGCTACATTATTCAGGTTGTTTTTGTATATATATGCAGATGTGATTTGGCCACTGTTGTTCAACTGTTATCTCTCAGCAAAGATAAGTGTTGGTCTTTCTAAATGAGCATTCTAATGTGTGTTTGCCTTTTGTGTGCCTAAGGCACACAAAAGGCAAACATTTCTCTTCAATTTACAACTGGGTCAGAAACGTGAAAGGTTTGAAATACTAAAAGATTTTTTTCGTATTATACTTTGTGCAACTAGGTCTTGAAAGTACGCTAGCGTAAATATAATTTATGAGGTCTACACAAATAGCAGTTTGTATCAAATTGCCCTAATTCATAGCGGAATTTCACAAAAGTGATGTGCAACTGCCTGATGTTTATATAAATTTTGAAAATTTGTGATTTGCTTGAAAATCAACAAAAGTTTAATTTTGCGGTCACTTTATCGTGAAAATTTTGATATTCAGGTGCTATTGAAAATCTGCAGGTAGTGTGTGAAATTTATTTTTCGCTCTGTTCTTGTTGGGAGCGAGAATTGTTCATGGTAGAATATGGCACGCTTCGAATGTTACTGTAATCTGAGTACTCTGTATCTTTGCTCAAAATTTAAAAAAAAGATTTCATTCGAAATAAATCTTCCCCTTGTGGTGTGGCTCACGACAGAGCGGTGCGCCTGAGAGGTTGATTTATCGGTGGCATGAATCGCAGTATTGTGAAACCATGTTTTAAGTATTATATACAGGAAAATGCATATATTTGTTTAGGAAAAGGAGATTTGGGCAAGTTCCTTGGTATTCATTCTGAAAATAGTGTATACACATGAGGAGGAAGAAGGAATCGACAACGGGACAATGTTGTCTCTTCCTTCTTCGTCCTCACCTGTATGCACGGTTTTCAAGATGCATATATCATTGTTGAGAATACTTCAAGTACTGAAATTCAAGCTAAAGCAAACTTCAGATATCGTAACGCTCAATTGATCGAGCGTTACTCTTATTAGTGTGCCTTCTTTGATATTTAACTGATTTATGCAGAGTGTACAGTTTTTAATTATTTTAATATGTGTGTGTACGTGTTATATGATTGTATAATAATGTTTATTCAAGATTGTGTACAGTGGTATTGTTGTTTTAATGGTACTGTTATGTTAGCTCATGATAATAATATTGCCAAAGGTTGCACGGAGAGGCTTGCCTTCTCGCGTGTTTCAACAAAAGCTGATTAAATTTTTCAACAAAAGCTGATCAATGAAAGCTGATTAAACAAAAGCTGATTAAATTGTATTTAAAGGGTAGCAGTGTGATTGGCGTTTTCTGTTGTGTATGCTAGTGTGCATACATCAACTGCATTTGCGTTTCTTTTGTATTAGCGGCACTTTTATCAGCTATGGCTAGCACTACCACTGAGAAGTTGCAATCATCATTGAAAGGACCGAAAACTAATTTTTTTCAACCCAGTTTTTTCTGGCACGACAAGAAGCATACCCTTCGTAGTGTTCCTAGCTACAGTAGATAATCCCAAAAGCAAGTAGTTATTTTATAAGCAGTATTTTTCTATCTGAAAGGCTCCGAACACGGACGTGCCTTTTTGTCCAGCAACGCTGAAAATTGATCGCGACGCCGGTAGTCCTTCTTGCCACTTGTGCATGCTGTCGTTGCTCTACTTTCGCAAGAGTTCCTGTAACTATGCTCAACCACATTTACTCTGAGCTTTACAACTATTCTTGAAAATAACAAGCCCTTACAATGAGACGATGTGGCTTCATACAGCTTCCCTGTATTTGTACCATATTGCATGCACCTGCTCCAAAGGTTGTTGCGCCTGTATCGTGGATGGCTTGTCCCATTGTCGTTACTATCTCTCGCCCCACAAGTCAAGCCAAGTCCCCGAAAACATCACTGCGCATAATGCGCGGCTGTGCCGAGTAGCAGTACATGCCGTTTCTAAGACAAAGTGTAAGTAGAAAAAAACCACATCACTCTAATATATTAGCGCCCTGGAAACTGTGTGTACAGCTTAATTAGCACGCAGAAAAGTTGCCCAAGACGCACTGACGAGCATGAGATAATTATGTCATGCAAAGGCAGTGCTACTTTATTGCGTACTACTAACGCAGGCCTATAGTATGTACCTAGTTCTTTATGGAGTAATATCTATTACTATTGAGAAGCAGACAATATTTGAATACTAACAAGAAAATTGTTGACAGCATACACTAATCTAAGGCCACGTTACAGGGTACATAGAATAATTTAGGTTTTTGCCACCAGGGGTGCCACAGGCTATTTTTTACGATTTTCAATGAAGCAATAAATTTATAAATACACTTCTCACGGAAAAAATAGGATATGGTTTGAGTCGCTACGAGAGACAATCATTCCATCCGTGCAGTCATCTCATTTCCATGTTCTGGGCAGTTGTCGGTACCTTTAAGAGACTACAGGCCGCACTATCAAAAAAAAAACTATTTTCTTGGAGTATGTGGTCATAGCCAGCAGTTGCGTGCAACACGAGCAATTGTTTATATGGCTGCACGTGCCGGAAATTTTAATAATCTACATAACATTGAGCCTACTTAAATACCCTGTGGGCACTCATGGCACTATGCGGGCAACCAATGGGAAAGCATCACTGCAATGCTGCTGCATGCGCCGACTTTAAGAGTGCTGTGACCGCGGTGGAGGCATTGCTTCAAGCCGCAAAAAAGGAGCACGAACGAACAAATCTGACAGACATGTGATATAGGTGTGGGAAGCATGTCTATATGCACATGTTTAACGTTGGCTTTCAAACGAGTGCTGTCTTCCATTAGATGTAGTGTAGTCAGGTGACCAGGCTATTTTCGCGTCTCATGTGCTCTGTATGCTGTGTGGTCTTGTTTGACACATCGGGGATTGTGTTTTGAAAGCAGTTCACTTTCTAATTACAGTCTGTCACAGTGTCGCCAACTGGTTTCTTCTTACTCAATGTTTTCAAATGATGGTTGCACTTTATTAGCACGCATTCATTGCACATTTGTTGAACACCTCAAAGAGCCAGTTCAAACGAGGCTTGCAAAAAGTGTTTGATTTGGTTGATGGTATAAATGAATGAGCTTAGCATTAGAGGTAACAGAAAGTCGAGAGTAAGATTTTCTGGTTTGCATTGTATAGGTGTTGTACAACCTCTGACGGCCTTGTTATTGAACTGAACAAAATTATATACCATGAGGCAGCCATTTCTCAGGATGATCAGTAGAAGTGAAATAATGAATGGGGGCATTGTTTGATAGTTTATACATACATTATAGCATGTGGGCTAATTTGTGTAATTAAAGTATTGTTCATGGTTCGTGTGTCGTGTCCCATTTTTGTTCACAACGCAAGTTTCACCTTGTAAAGAAGGTGAATTGACGTTGTAAGCCTGCATGACTGAGCCGTTCATGCGTCCAGAAATACATCACTGGCTACGTCTCGCGAGATTTTTTTTTTCCTCTCCTTTGTTGTCGCTTGTTCGTGCAAATGCTTGTTTCGTAATCAGCAGGGGAACATAAGTGCGGGAAACTGTACTCACATTTTATGATAAACCTTTTAATGAAACATTTGCTAAATATAAAGTGTGAAATATGATGAAAGCTAGCACTGTTTCTCCGTGTTGGAAGCGTGGAAGTGCTAACACTGACTTAATGGAGCATTTGCTACATGAATGGGGAAATCAAATAAAGCCATGTACGAGGGTTGTCCATAAAATAATGTTCCCAATGTTTTTTCATTATGGAAAACATGTTTCATGGCATTTAATAATACCTTTTTGAAAAGCTTAGACCATCTCCTTATTTTTGGCATAATTGTTATCGAGATAATGCACTTGTACATGTGTTGTACAATCTTCTTAATGCTTGAACAGTATAACTCTCCCATCGCGTGGTGAAGGGAGCTTTTAAGCCTTTTTCTGCGGCTCTTCTGCAGTTCTAAAATGCATCCCACACAGGCGTTTTTTCAATTCAGGAAAAAGATGGTAATCAATTGAGGCTATGTCTTGGATGTCAAGACAGCCAAGACATAGCCTGAATTGACTACCATTTTTTTTCTGAATTGGACAGCATCTCACCTCAATTTGTTGACGAAATCGCTTGCTACACGAGCAATGAGCAGACTAGCGTTGCCCTCATGGACACGCACCCCCTTCGTTAGCCTGCGCCTTCTCTCGTTTTGAATTGTGTGGAGAAAGCTATTCAATGTCTTGCAGCAGCATCCTTCATTGATTGTTCTACAGGCTAGAAGGAATTTGCACAACCATCCCTCCTTTCCCAAGAGACGTTGCCATCCTTTTGCCGTCATCCCTTTGCACAGCTTCGGTAACTCTGAAAGTTTTTACTGACAGGAATCTGACAGGAGTAGAAGCAACACGTGCATTAGGGCACGCTTTGTGAGCTTACACAGTTACCTTTCTACATAAATTTCAGTCACTAGGGAACAAATGATGTGGGGGTGCTGATACACCTTGTAAATTTGTTTGCGCTGCGTGCCACACGTGTCTCGCCCAAAAGCCGCATTTCAGGCTACAACTACCAGACGGTAGGTGGCGTTGTGTAGGCGAGCGGTGACCCCTGGCGGAAAGAAAGCCTTGGTGGCAGGTGCGGGCGAGAGTTGAGTGAGTTTCATGGGCGCGTGGCGGTTGCCGTGAACGGTTGTCTCTAGCGTGGGTCCTCGGCGCGTCATACCGCGGCCTGCGCGCCGGGGCGCCCACGTGGTAAGTCAAGCGTTGGCGACACCACCTTGGGTATGTTATCGTGTGTTTGTCGTGTTATTGTGTTTGTCATGTTTTGGAGTGTATGGAAATTGTGTGTAAGGATGTCTTAGTGGGTTGGTCACGATTGAGGTATCATTCGGCGGACGATATCGTTGTTATAAATTAGTTAAATGTATGTACGTTGTTTGGTTTGTACCGACCGTGTCAACTGTGTCCGTTCACTCCAAGAGCGTGGCGCTCGCTCGCCATTTCGAGACCCCACAATGTTCACTGGCACAATGTTTTTTGCACAAAAAGAATGAATCTCAGCAAGTGATCTTCACCTGGCGGGAGAACAGAGTGGAACCTCCATCTCTAACATCAGTCAAGCCAAGACTTGGCTTCAGAGACAGGTCGCCAAGGCAGGGACTGTGAGTGGCTGAACAGTGCTAAATGCCAATGTCTCTGGATCCTGCGCAACAGTGATCCTCGCGACTTCAGCGCCTCACAAACCTTATTCTACAGACAACCCTCCTACAGAGAGACCGTGCAGAAATCTCGCGGCACTGATCTTTTTCTGCAGAGCTAATAGAATGAAGGAGTTGGCACGCATTCATAAACATACTATGTTGGCTCTTTATTCCTTATTTAACAACAAGATGTAGACAGTGCAGTAGCCAGTCTGACTCTAGCAGTCGGACAGTGGGTTAGTGCTATTAGTCTTCACAATCCAAAGCTCCGTAGTCGGTCGCAATGTATGTTTGCACTTGAAGAACTCCATGGAGCCATGTCAGTGAAACACTGCAGTTGAGCCCTAATTAATGGCGCAACTAACAAAGCCATTCGTTTAGTAATAAGGGCAGCACTGCAGCTCTGTGTCATTCATTTCTACAAGCCCATACTGCCTGAACTGGGAGATGTCCAACTTTTACTGGACTGGGATTGTTAAAACTCTCGAAACTAGAAACAAACCCTCGTTTCCAATTAGCAGAGAACTCCCCCTGCGACACTGAAAGTGTAGCAAATCGGTTCTGAACAAGCTTGCAAGGTAAAATAATGTTCATGAAAGTTCTAGGTTTGAATCCCGAACTAGGACAAATTTTTCATCACCTAGGAAGCTATCATTACAAATCCATCGGGACGCCACTTGCAGCTTCCTGATTCAAGTGCACAAAAGAAAATTTTTCTCCTTTTACCTTGATAGAGAGCATGGACAGTTAATCAAGCGGCATCAAGATGCTCCAAAGTGCACGCATTACTTGCAATTTTTCATCTTTATTATACCTACAAATATGCACATGTCAAATAAAGAAGGGTGGACTTGCAAAACTGTGGAAATCTGCTCACGTCCCAACTACAGATCTAAATCTAAATAAGCGCTCCAGACTAGTCAAACTTGTTGAAAAATAGCTGAATTGAAATTCACGATGTCAGTTCCAATGCGGTTATTTAGATCTTGCTGAATAAATTAATGCCAACATTTTTATGTTAACAGCTACTTATTCCTAATTGCTCATTGTCTCGATTACCAGCCAAATGCTAGTTAATGCAGCAACCATGAACCTTCAGGCTGCCCCGAAATCGCAGAACACTAAGCGCATACAAAGTGTGGGCAGTCATGGATGCTTATTCAATACAACTATCTAATAAGCCTCTCTAATAAACCCAGTGTGCTTCTATACCTTCAACTTCATTTCACGTTAGCCATGAACAGAGTCTGCCGTCGTAATTTTGTTCGATATGCCGAGTGTGGTCGCACTAGCAAAGACGCTTCTTCACAGCAGTATAAGCGGGTACTTAATCCATAATGAAGCTTCATCCATAATCAAGCTTCAAAGCTCGAGTGAAAACATTATTCCTACAATTATTCAGGCACTTCTTTCATGATGTCATGAGCTTTGGATCAGTCAAGAATGATGTCTTTTTACTGTGCATAAGCTTAAATTGCATATAGCGCTGACATTGCAACTGAACCACCACTGACAAGGGTCCACTGCAACATTTTTTCAGCATGGCCAGAAAACATCGCTAGTCAATATTCGAGCCTCCAGAGAGCATGTGAACGACAGATTTAGAGCACAGCACGCGGCCTGGAATTTACAAACAATTCTCACAGTCGGCCGAAAATCGTTCTCTCTTCTCTCGACAAATGATGGCACAAACTCAAAGTCTATGTCCATTGGTAGATTTCAGCATTTCAAGCTGCGTAGTTACCGCGGCCGCTATGCGATGACGAAATGTACCTGTGATGAGTGGAGTGCGCGTTTAAAGTGTGCGCCTTGGAAAAGTGAGCAAAAGAAAAAGAACGGAGAACGCGTGCGAATGGTGGCCGAAGCAGTAGATATCGATGACGAAAACATAGCCACGAGGACGCGAAGTTAAAATGTCAATGTAAAATTAAGCCAATAAGAGAAGACCATGAAGTTCTAATGGAACCAATCAGGAGTGGACAAGTGTGCCCGAGAGCTCAAGGAAGACCCGTGCCAGAGAAGAGCAAGGAGTTGGAAGAAGACGTGGCGAGCGGAACATTGTCACCAGACCGGATGCTGAAGGTGGGCCGTCGGGTGTCCGACCCGAGCCTCGAAGACTTCACCGCGGCTGGGGCCTCTTGCCATCGCGTTCCTGCTTGAGAGGACCTGTGGCCTTCCAGTCCTGAATACCATCACAGAGCCTCCGGACTTCGGTTCCGACAGGCGAGCAACAGCCATCAGGCTACGGGCCCGAGTTGTGCATCGAGCTGCCTGCCCAGGTTCCCTTGTTTCTCAACGCGTTGCCCAGCCACAAGCATTTCTTAGCCATAAAAAGCGAACCCGCTTAAACTCCATGAGTCAAACCCTCGACGACATGGTGAGCACACCACTTTTCTGGCTCCACTCCGCCGATCGCCCACGTTGAGACATCATAGTTTAGATATAAGGGGCTGCACTTCCATTTTGTGTACTTAAACAAGTGTTTCACCGCATGCAGTAAACTGTTTATTGAGTGTTTCGGTTTTGTGGAGATTTTTGTCTTTCTACTTAGTAATTAAACTTTCTGTGCGCATTTTGTGAAACCAAGTGGCTTTGTCCCTTGAGACTCTCACAGGCTCAAACCTAGGGAGCTCTTACAATGTAAGGTCACAGCTTTGCCACAAAGGCAAAGCAATGAACACGATAGCAACAAATTGGAAGTTCACGCACAAATGACGCACAAAACGTACTCACAGGTACAGATGAATGCGAATAAGCGTCTCAGTTGTTACTTCGCTGAGTCTGAAAAGCGCGCCCTTTTAGCAAATGGAGAGTGTGCAACGAGTGCAGTGACCTTTGTGCGCCCAGTAACTACAACAGAATTGTTCATGAAAGCTCAAGGCCAGCCGAGACCTACGATTCTCCCCAACACGAGATAAGGGCACGCGAGTGAGCGTCGCCCCCTCCTCTCCGCGGCGCAAAGTACGCGTGAGAGATGACGGCGCACGCTGCCGCGTCGTGACGATGTGGCAGTACGCACTCTAGTTGGTTACACTGAAAATACGATAGTTCCCCCTCGATATGCCTGTCAGCAGGGATAAGTGGTAAATATATTGTAATTACTCGAATATAACGCGCACCTTTTTTTCGGTTCAGCGACTTCATAAATCGCATGCGCGTTGGAATCGAGTAAAAAAAAAAATGAATATGGTCATTCTATTGCCATCGGCATTTCCAAAATGGCCGCCCCCTACATGCGTCGGCATGGCGCGTCGGTCATTTCTGCCAATGTGTTTCCCATGTGTGGCACTTTGTACGTGTGCTGAGGAGTGCATCTTGTAGTACATTAGCATCGACGGCATGGAAGGGTGCAAAAACTCGACGAGTGCACCACGATGCCGCTTTTAAAAGAAAAGTCATCGCGTGTGCAGAAACGGACGGTAATCAGGCCGCATCGCGGTCGTTCGGAGTTCCCTAAACGTGCTTGCGGGACTGGCGAAAACGAAAGAAGATTGTCGACAGCAAAGCTTCACGTAAACTCTTCAGTGCACCACAGCAGGGTCGGTTTCCGCAAATTGAAGAGCTGCTCGCCGAGTATGTGCTTGAGCAGCGAGCGGCACAGCGGCCCGTGACGAAAGAACTGCTCCAAGAGCGGGCCATGCAGTTAGCCTTAGAATAAGGGCTAACGAGGAGCCAGTTCAAAGTGAGCAGGTGCTGGCTAACTAACTTTATGAAGAGGAAAGGCTTTTCCCTCCAAAGGCGAACGGGCATATGCAAAAAGTTTCCGGAGGAGTACGAAGAAAAGCTTCACAGTTTTCAGAGGTTCATCCTAAACTTGCAGCACAACAACGGCTACCTGCTTGGGCAAATCGAGAATGCCGATCAGACGCCTCTTTACTTCGACATGCCTGACATGCCTGGCACCACAACCGTTGTGAAGAAGAGGGCAAAGCAAGTTCGCGAGCTGACATAGGGCCACAGAAAAACTAGAGTGACGGCAATGCTCTGTTGCACGTCAGATGGGCACAAGCAGCCCCCCGTACCTCATATTTAAACGGAAGACGCTCCCGAAAGGGGTCATTTTCCCAAATGGTGTGATCGTGCGGACCAACGAGAAAAATGGGTGCGCGTTACAATCGATGTAGTCCTTTTTTTTACTGTCATGCAAACTGGGTGCGCGTTACAATCGAGGGCGCGGTAGAATCGAGTGAATACGGTAGATAGCTTCCCGTTTGAACATTGAAGGAGCTGCTCCTCTGTGGCTCAGTGGTAAACGCCTCGCACTCACGATTCAGAGGTCGCAAGTTCAAACCCACCCATCGGAGTCTTATTCTGGATTATTTTTCTTTCATGCGTTTACATATATATAGATACGTATAAATATACGATGAGTGGTGGTGACTCCGATGTCGACGACGCAGTCAATGGCGGCAAAATCTAGCCAAGAGTGTCCATATAACTGCTATCGCAATAAAAGAACCTGCGTTACAGTACCCACACTCTCTCACCATCCAACAGAAAGTAAGACGTGCAAATGTAGCTGCGATAGAGTTCCCTGTTTTTGGGACACGCAAAAACTGCATTCGTTTTGTTAAAAGTAACATAATTTTCACGCTTTGTGAGCTTACACAGTTACCTTTCTACATAAATTTCAGTCACTAGGGAACAAATGATGTGGGGGTGCTGATACACCTTGTAAATTTGTTTGCGCTGCGTGCCACACGTGTCTCGCCCAAAAGCCGCATTTCAGGCTACAACTACCAGACGGTAGGTGGCGTTGTGTAGGCGAGCGGTGACCCCTGGCGGAAAGAAAGCCTTGGTGGCAGGTGCGGGCGAGAGTTGAGTGAGTTTCATGGGCGCGTGGCGGTTGCCGTGAACGGTTGTCTCTAGCGTGGGTCCTCGGCGCGTCATACCGCGGCCTGCGCGCCGGGGCGCCCACGTGGTAAGTCAAGCGTTGGCGACACCACCTTGGGTATGTTATCGTGTGTTTGTCGTGTTATTGTGTTTGTCATGTTTTGGAGTGTATGGAAATTGTGTGTAAGGATCATGCAAACTGGGTGCGCGTTACAATCGAGGGCGCGGTAGAATCGAGTGAATACGGTAGATAGCTTCCCGTTTGAACATTGAAGGAGCTGCTCCTCTGTGGCTCAGTGGTAAACGCCTCGCACTCACGATTCAGAGGTCGCAAGTTCAAACCCACCCATCGGAGTCTTATTCTGGATTATTTTTCTTTCATGCGTTTACATATATATAGATACGTATAAATATACGATGAGTGGTGGTGACTCCGATGTCGACGACGCAGTCAATGGCGGCAAAATCTAGCCAAGAGTGTCCATATAACTGCTATCGCAATAAAAGAACCTGCGTTACAGTACCCACACTCTCTCACCATCCAACAGAAAGTAAGACGTGCAAACGTAGCTGCGATAGAGTTCCCTGTTTTTGGGACACGCAAAAACTGCATTCGTTTTGTTAAAAGTAACATAATTTTCCGACTCGTTTTTGCTTTCCGGATGCATGCAAAAACCATACTCTTTACTCTCGCAGTTTGCTTGCATACTACGAAAGTGCGCGTCACTTTCTATGCTGTAAGCCAGTCTATTGGAGATTCCTCCGAATCGCCGCTCGACTGTCATCTTCATTGGACGTCAACTTGTCATGCGAGACATTACTTATGAGTTCAGACTAAAATGTTGGTAAACAAGCAAAATCTCAAAAGTGTGTGCATGGCGATACATTGCTTACTTGATCAAAGGTGACTTTTGTTCGATGTTTTCACTTGAAGTCACTTCGTGCACTTATTTTTGTAACGGGTAATTTCAGAAGTCATATAAGCTTGTTTAAAAAATCTATCTTAGAGCTATTATTGAATAAACCATGTGTATGTAACAACACAAAAGATATTGTTGTAATTTGTGGTCACCCTAAAAAAAGGTACAATTTTTTTCCTGAAATACATTCACCTGAAGAATTTAAATCAGCAATAAAAGAAATCAACCCTGGCAGCTTACGTCTGGAAGAAAAATTTGACCATTCAGAGGTTAATGTGGCTGTTTCTCATCATTGGTTTTAGGATGTGAAGCCATGACTATCTACCATGGCTTCCATGAAGAACAAAAGCAATAGACATTGCATCCAGACTCCTTCATTCCACAAAATCATCGTTCGTAACACAAAACGACGCATAACTCGTCTACAGAAAGATGTACATTGCTGAGTCTTTGGTCAGTCCTCGCAACCAGAAGTCAAAGCACAGCGTGCGAACCGGAGCAGAGTAAATGCACTCGGGTGCACAGACGGCAGTGTGGTACTTTCAAGCGCGGATTCGACGAGATGAGAAGACAAAGAAAGGTGTTCCCGTATGAACAGAGGAACACTGTCACCGGTGCACCCTTGTGAAACGTTGACGGCTTGGTATACTTCCCAGCATATGTGCCCTTCACTTGGGTCCCAGCATGTCCTTGGGCTGGACCCACTTGTCGAATTCCTCTGCGGTCAGGTATCCGAGCTTGACGGCACTCTCCTTGAGCGTGGTGCCCTCCTTGTGCGCCGTCTTGGCAATTTTGGCCGCCTTGTCGTAGCCGATGTGCGGGTTCAACGCCGTCACCAGCATAAGCGACTCGTTGAGCAGCTTGGAGATGCGCTCCCTGCAATATTCGGAAAAGAGGCAGGGTGTCGATCGTCACTGGATGACGGTTCAGCACACAGCTTCAAACCTGAGTAATAGAATGTGACGTCCATGCCATATGTTGCCACCTTGCGTTGACAAGAGGATGTCAAGAAAATCTCCGAAACTCTTTCAGTTAACTTTTATTGTGTTTGAAGCTAGCTACAAAAATGCACTGTAGCTTCTATCAAGCACGTAAGAAAACGTGACTGTGTTTTTCGATGTGCAGGTGACATTCCCTGTTGCATATCCACGCCTATTATTGATTAATTTTAACGAAGAGGCCACAATACTGATGGTCTATAAGACAATAAAAAATGGTCAAACTACAATAATTACTTTTCAATAATTGTGCACCTATCAAAAGGCAGCTGCAGTTGCCAGTAACTGAACACACCCCCTCAAACTCGGCAGTGCAACATCTTACCTGCTAACCTGGCCCTGCAGATGCAAGTTGCAACGATAAACGTTAAAGAGACTTATAACAGTGCCACCACTATGAAGAAGTTTTTGCAGTTCAGGAAAGCTGCGTGGCAGGTTTTCCACATTATCTAACAAATAGAAGGAAGCGCTCACTTGTTCGGCACGATGCCGACCACACAGTGGTCCGTGAAGGAGACGCTAGAGTCTGCAAGGAGCCGCACAGAGCGAAGCACGTTGGACACGATCAGTGGTTTGAACACATTCAGCTCGAAGTGGCCATTGCTACCCCCAACAGTGACAGCAACGTGGTTCCCCATGACCTGGCAGGCTACCATAGTGACAGCCTCGCACTGTGTCGGGTTCACCTTGCCTGCAGAACACCAGGAAGAGGCAGAACACAATATCGGCAAGCTTTATACTTTGTCAGGACAGAGAATCCAGCATGCCACGCAGTGAGATGAGTTTCTGCAGAAGTCCAAGCTAAGTGCAATTGGCCAACAGGCCTGGTGTCACAAGTGCTATTTCCCACAGCCAGCTACTTGTTTTCACAGCATTACATACATGCAATTGTAGGACCCTGTCATTGCATACAACTTCAAAAGGCAGAGGGCACATCTTCCTCTAATACAGGGGGAAATGAGCCAGCACCAGTGGGCATGCACTCTAGACTAGCCCTATTGGAGACCCGTTTATTTTTTTTTAATAATTATTTCGATTTGTTTCAGCAGCTCAGCGAAAAACAAAAAAAGCCTCTGCCTCATGGTGTGTTTAAGGGGCACCCTAAGCTATGGATAGGTTTATTGTCAAGACTGCATTTTTTTAACTGCATTAATTGAAAGGCTTCGCCGGGTGTCACGCTGCTACCTAATGGGCTAACGTCGCGAGTCAGGCAGCCAGTGACTCCACCGATCGTCTCGTGAAGGGGGCTACTTCATTGGTAGCGAAGGCAATTGGCAGTCAACCTTCAGACATTTGACCAGGGTCTCTTCTGTCTTCTCAAGTCTTACGTTACTATAATTTTCAGTTTTTTTCCCTTTCCCCATTTCAGCACCTCTCAAGCAGAAAAGGTGATAATGCATGACAGCAAAGTTTATTACTCATCTATGTCATGTTCTCAGCTGACCCAGCAAACTTACCGTATTTAGTAACGAATGAACTTTTTTTTTCTCTAAAAATCGAAGCAAAGTTGGGGGTACATTTATTATGTGGGGCAGATTTTACGAAAACTTTTTTGGGATGAGCAAAAAGTCCGGTAATGGAAAAAAGAAAGTTAGGTTGCTTAGCCTTTCGCATTTGACATACGCGTACACTGTTTGGAAGCAGCTTCTTTGTTGCACTTTGTTCATGTTCACTAGTTGGTGGCAGCTATCTTCTGCAAGCTGTCCCCACGCCACCTGCGCATGCCATAAAAGCATTTCGCGGCTATCTTTTCTCGCAATCGTTTAATCGCAACAGTGGTATCTTATGTGATCCTGAGGGGCGCCCAGACACATGCACTACGAAACTACAACGCACTTTGCAAACTTCGCACAATGACCGCGACGACGCCATTGACATTGTAGCAAGTAACCAACATTGCAGCAAGCTGCCCTCGAAGCAGCAAAACAAACCGTCGCCTCACTTCCACATGAAAAGTTCCTGTACGCGCAGAGAACAAGTGAAGCGAGTATCAGGGGTGCTACCATGTTGCGGAAATCATCACGATCTTTTCTGGATGACAAGCGATTCTTTTTTGGTTTTCCAGAAACCTGCGACACGATAGCGACAAAGGACCCTTCGTGACAGCAAATCCTCGCGTCGTCGCTCGAAAATGGCGTGTACGTCGTTGGGTCTTAAGGTTTTGTACTTGCACGAAGCGACTGTTGGTTGGCGCAGGGCAGTTTCATGGCCTTCGCTCACAGTGGGCTTATCAGCTGCGATGTCTCTACACTCGCACAGTTCGTGAACTCCGCTGTGGCGTACAGATAAAAAAAATGGGGGACGTGCTGCACACAGATAGAAAGAAAAACAATATGGCACACGGCAATGGGCAAAGGCGGGGGGGGGGGGGAGCAAGCAGAAGCAGCCAAGGAGGGTCGGCATCGGCATAATAATAAAAAACAGAAGAGATCCAACAGGTAGGGAGGCGCCAGGTGTCAGCGTGACTGCAGTGGCTGAATGTAGGGGTGCATTTATTATGCGGGGGAAAAAACTGATTTTGATGACTAAAAGTGCGGGTGCATTTTTTATGCGAATGTGTTCATTATGCGAGTAAACACAATATTTCAAGTAGTCCGCCACATGGGCATTGCGAGGATATCATCTATGAAGAAAAGGGGAACTCGCATTACATCACACAGAAAGGGGGACAAATGTTGGTGTGATTTGCGTGAAGGCAAGTGTTGGTGCTGCTGTTGAAGAGGGAACGAAGAGAGGGGGCAAGTGCCTTTTGCACTCCCCCTCCCCCTTTCCCACCGAACTGCCACTATTCGACACCTCTGAAGCACCTGCTATGCTAGCGGATCTGCATGTGCACCTAAAGACACAGCAGCAGAACGGTCACTACAGTTCTGCAAATGCACAGACCTGGCATGATGCTGCTTCCCGGCTCGTTTTCGGGCAGAGAGAGCTCGCCGAAACCGCACCGTGGTCCCGATCCGAGGAACCTGATGTCGTTGGCTATCTTCATCAAGCTGCAAGCAAGCACGTTCAGCGCGCCAGACACCTCGACCATGGCATCATTGGCGGCAAGCGCTTCGAACTTGTTCGGTGCCGTCACAAAGGGCAGGCCTGCAAGAACAAATAAACCACTCGGTAAGAGACGCATCACAATGTACGATTCTGTCAAATACTACTGTAAAAACCAGAACATAATTGGAACTCAAAAAAAAAACAATGAAAAGTTGACTCTCATCTTATATACCGGTCATTGGCAGAAAAAAATGTGGAAGTCTCGCAACAGTGAGCAGCTCAAGTCTAAAGCCTCCATTGCCATCAGGAGCATCAGCGGCAGCGCCGTTGGGCAAGGCTACACAATGCCTACAGTGTTTAAGCAACGCCATTTCACCTCGGTTATGTGCTGTCAGTCTGCTGTTTTCTGTTTCATTTAGAAATTAGTGGTAGCCGACGACAGTTTATGATAGGCTTTAAGAAAAAGTTAACGAGTGTCCCGAAGCGCACAGCAACCTGGTGGCACAACGGGAATTCGGTGCATTAGAGAAAAGTGTCCGATACTAGAGGAGCCAAAAGCAGTCCATCACATCCTGCAGCAACCAAAAAAAAAAAAAAAACATCGTTTCGTGGACGGACTGCAGTGCACCCCGAACTGGAAACACTACTCATCGAATCCGTTCAGAAGCTACGTGCAAGGTCGCTACTTGTAACAGCGGAGTGCATCCGCACGAATGCTCTCAAGATAGCGCGCGACTCTGGGCTCACAAGAGCACAATTAAAGGGCTTGCCATTATGGGTGAAGCAAAAGGGCTTTGCACTGGGGTGGCGGAATTCCGTCTTTCCGCAAATGCTGTATCAGTAACACATTGGATGGAACGGAGGACAACGCACTCTAGGCGTTACTAGTGAAATACAGACGTCGTCGAACTCAAGTTTGGACGAGTCTGAGTGACAGCGCTTTGTGGCCTTCTGGTGTTTAACTACATAAGATTAGTGTCCAAATAATAAGAAATGTCACCACAGTGCAGCTGGTTGTGTCGCGTATTCACCAGGGTAAGGGTGTGTTGCGATACTTTGCGATTTTTTTTATTTTATTTTCGGAGATTCAAAGTTTGAGAGGTGAACCTATATTCCGGTTCGACCTACCGTAAAAGCCCGCAGTTTAGCTTCGACCCACATATGGTCCGGGGTGTAATTTGGGGATAGCAAATGCAAGAAAAGAAGTATACCTCAAGTGAAATGTATAGTGACAAGTTGGGTGAGTTGGTTCATTCCTAACGAGCTTATGGCACAAAGAAACACAAGAGAAGGACAAGCATCTTTCTCTTGTGTTTCTTTGCACCATAAGCTCGTTTGAAATGTATAAATGCATTTTTTGAAACACTTAATTCATCGTCGTCATCGGACGCATCTCTTCCGAAGCTCCCTTGTTGGAAATGTTCTCACACAGCACATCATCTTCAGTCCTATCAAGTGTGTTTGAGATGGAGCACGTTTTGAACGTCGCGGCAAACGAGCACCTCGAAAATGCAGGCCCAAGCCTGACTATCTATGAGCACAGCATCGCTGACGAGGACCGTTTCAGCCGTCCCGCAGGGGTCACTTCTGGTTCTCCGGACCTCATCCACTCTGCATACAGGCGCTTGACATGATCCTTAAATTGCTTATTAGGCACACATTAAGCGGCTGCAGCTGTGATGTCATCCGAGCTCGGTGCAGAAGCCATTGAGCACAAGCATCAAAGGGAGCCCCAGCAGTACTTTGGGCCGTCGACACCACACCGACTTTCTCCAGTCAAGCACAAGCGATTCGCCCATCCACCCCTTGTCCTGGCAGCGGACGGCGACATTTTTTTGGGAACTTCTCCCCCTTTGGCAGTGTCTTTCGTTTGAACACCACGTAGGGTGGTAGCTTGCAAACGTCTGCAGTGCAGGACAACATTACAGTCACCCGCGTTTTTTCGTTTCCAGTCCATTGCACAATAACTTTCCTGGAGCCTTTCTGATGCACCGTCAGCGTCGAGAACATATCCGGGTAGACCGGCATTTGATTCCCGTTGCCGATACAGCCCAGCTGAAAAGGGACACGTTTTCACTTAACACAATTACATACTTTTGAAACTTCACAAGGTTCTCTTTGTAGCTCTTTGATAGCTTTTGCGAGATCGACGAACGCCGACGTAGAGAGAACCCAGCGCGGCCCATGAAAAGCATTGCTTGCTCGCTTTGAAATCCTCCGGCTGAATGCCTTTGTCCCAAGCAATCTCCATTACCTTCACTTGCTTGCAGCAGCTCGATGTCAACAGCGAAATGTGCAGCTTGCCACTCCCACACAAAGTCTGAAAGTTCTCGTTCTACATCGGGAAACACAAAAAGGTTTCCGCTTTTGGTCTGCGGAAACCTTTTTGCGGGCTGCTGCAAGCAAAGAGGGCGTCCTACTGCTTCCACCAACTGCGAATACTCCGCTCATTGACTGCTGCTCTGCTGCACAGTTGCCAATGGTTTCGGCAGCAGAGATAACTTTCCTTTTAAAATAAGCCGAGTACTGCCTGCACGGTGCTGACATGGTGTAAAATTACAAGAGCAAGATCGTGGCCGTCGTTATGAGCGCCAAGTTGAAGCAAAGGCCACTGACCACTGTTGCACGCGAAGGTCTGTAAGACCAATGCCTGCTACTGCCGCTACCACAACATAGTACCTAGCACAAATGTGCGTGAACACCTGATGATGATGATGATGATGATGATGATGATAGCACTGCATTATGCCAAAACCAAAACTGAATTTCGGCCAAAAAATTCTTGGGACCCGCAGGTAGTACAGGCCCAAAATTTCGTACCCTAAAATCTAGAAAAAACCCCGGACTGTATGCGGGCTTTTACGGTAATATTCCAGTATTTATGGTAGGCATGTACTATGCAGGTAATGTTTAGTGGTGCTGTTTATAGCATCATGCGTTAAGGAGTGAGATGAAAGGCTTGCATGCACGAGACACTATCGACTCACCCGTAAACTGAGAGACCTTTTCGGCCACCTTCTCGGCAAAGCCTATCCTCGTGTTGAGGCCTGTGCCGACAGCCGTGCCACCTGTGAAACAAATGCACAAGTGAAATCAATCGCAAGAAAGACAACAGCCTCATATCATAACAAGAAAACTGAACAAACGACATTTGCAACAGCCTTGTGATGCTATAAAGATTCTCCCATCAGAAACTATGGTTGTCAAATGTTTTCAAACAGTTAAGCTCTGAAAGCTCAAGGTGAAACGTCAGCTGTACGCAAAAAACACTCGACGTCATTGCATATCACGCATTGGTACAACCTCCGCGCCACTGCTTATCAGTCGTGCCCACCGACAGAGACAGCCCAAGCAGCCGCTGCACCCAGTTTGCCTGCCGCACAAGCCCAGTACGAGCGACAAAAGACCTTGCGCTTTTACTAAGGGTGCCACAGCTAGCTTTGCGAGTTAGCTCTGGCACATTAGTTTGGACATTCTTGCACGGTCTGCGAAAGACTGTGGTTCGCTTCATCTTTATATGCCCTGGAAAAAACACCACGTTAAGACTAAGATCAACCAGCTTTGCTGTTTTCTTTACGTGGCTAGTGTAACCTTTTCGTTCTTTGAGAAAGGCTATAATGAACACATCGTGATCAAAGTGTGACATAGATCAGGTAAATGAAATAATAAATGACTGAATCAGCTGTTATTTATGAAGAAAGCCCTATCTATAAAAGAGAACTGACACCTGCTTCAATGAGCACCCTGCTCTATCTGCCACTGCCAGTATAACTATGCTTCCATTTTGGATCATGTCAAGTACTAATCACATTTTTCAACACGAAAGTGTTTTATGGCAGGGTTAATTACAGCTCTGTTGACGTACTTCCGTCACAGAAGTGACCTTTAAAAACATATGCTAAGAGATTGCAAAGAAAAAGTAAGAAGGCAAACATCTGTCACGCGAAACCGAACCAGAATCTTCTCGATTCTCAGCGCCCGGCACTCTCCACTACGCCACACGGCATACGTTGTCTGGAGTGCTAACGGCAAGCCATTCGTACACACCATACACCGTTTAGGAGTACCCAGAGCTTCGAAACTTCAGCGCGCTTTTGTTATCAGTTGAGAGATGGTGTGACAGTCTCGTGTACGACGTGCTCTCAAGGTCGCCGCCTCCACGAAGCGCTGCCTCCACAAAGTGTGGTCTCTCCTGCCCACACTCTTATCACACTCATAACTCGGGAAAGGATGAAGGTCACTTTGCAAGCGGCCATGATCGCATTTACGAAAAGAGTTCGCTGCTGACATAGGGCGCAGGAAGGATTGTGACAGTTGTTAGTCTGAGCTCGTCCTGTGTATGCTAATTTGGTGCGTGCTTTCTGCTTGAGGTGTGCGCTGCAAGTTTCGAGCTGCTTGCTCTTCTTAACGTGACTTTGCAATTTGTTGCTGTTGCTGAAGCAATACACAATAAACACTCAACTGCCTCTGTAAAGACACATTTCACTTCCGTGTTACACAGATTCCTATATAGAGAAATCAACCACGTTTTTTTTTCTTTATTCTACCAAATGGCAGCCAAGTCGGCATTACAACTATATAAAGTACTAGCTGCTCGTAATAGTCATATAGATCAGCTGCCATGAATGAATAATTCAAAAACAAAGGCTAACTCATAGATACTGGACAGCATCAATATTTTTTCTTTATGTATTGAGTCAAGTTTGTAAGACAATTCTACTGCGATATATCGCTGGTCATCAAGTTCCTATCCCCACGACAGACCCAATCTGTGTTTTCCCCGGCGGACGGCGCATCACGTGAACCCCCGCTGCAGATTTTTGCCATTCGTGCCGGGTCCGCAGGCATCGCGGACGGAATATGCCAAGGTCTTTCTCGCAATTGGATTCGCGCGAAAATACACAACAGATTTAGCTGAGGACACCATTACAGGTCTGGCAACGAGTGCTGATTTCTGGGCTGACACCAAGATACTTTTTAGCGATGTAGTCCTTTTGCGAACAAGATTGTTTTGCAGAAAAGATGAGCACTTTATTGTCTGATTTCGCTAATGGGACAACCATTGCAGCTAATCGTCGCTTTCTTTCAACCTCCATATTGACTTCAACTTCGAACTCAGCGTCATAGACTGAAACATAAGCCTTCAATATTTTTGCTAGCGATGTATGGGTTTTCAACCTTTAAACTGCTCACGCCATCTAGAGAAAATAGGAATAAGCAAGCATTCCCACATTATTACGAAGTCTGAGATTTGGCAGCACTTGCGATATCGCAGATCACCGAGCTCATGTTCTGCCAATAGCAGTGCTTGCTATAACTCTCAGGAAAGGAGTGTGGCGCTCGGTAACAGTATCAAATTGTTATGTATACATTGCCGCCGAAGCTTGAGGACACAAACCTAAAGCCGACACAACCATCAGTTTGGGAATAACAGCCCACGCAATGCACGATAAAGAGCTTAAAGATTCGAAGCGGACAGTGCCGCCATGTTTTTTTTTCTCCAGCACGTCCGTCTGCTCACTTCGTACATTCGTCATCTAGATGTGTTTCGCAGTCGAATGGGCGGCGGAACGATTGTCTACGAAAGAGATTTGCACAGATATATCAGTCGTGTGGATACACGCTAAGGGTAACTGAGTGGATTCCCAGAGAAGGCAAACGCACGAGGGGGAGACAGAAAGTAAGGTGGGCCGAGGAGATTAAAAAGTTCGCTGGTATAATGTGGCAGCAGGAAACACAAGACCGGGTTGATTGGAGACTCATGGGAGAGGCCTTTGCCCTGCAGTGGGCGTAGTCAGGCTAACGATATCGTACCAAGTAGGCAACATACTACAATGTCACCTTCAATTGTGTCACACTTCAACAGATTTTTATGATTAGCATATCATCAGAAATAAGGATTTGTCAATGTGCTCCTCCCTCCTGACATGGCCTACAACCACGAAGCTCCACAGGGACACTTATACCTGCAGCAAGGCTTAATAAACCTGCTTAAATTATACGCCATGCTTAGCATCTCAATAACTGCAGAGCGATTAAGCGAGACGAGTACGAGAACGAAAGTGGTCATTTTGCACACAAGGCCCAGAAACCATGCGATCACAGATACACAAACTACACAGCTAGGCAAAATGACAGCAGAGAAATGTGGCCAAGCCATTTTGCACACGACAACTCTATTAATGCAGTTGGCAGACGAGGCCCGATTGGCCCAAACTTACCCGCAGCGAGGTAGTATAGACGTGGAAGCGTCGCTTTAACGCGCTCAATGCCGTATTCAATTTGGGTAGCGTAACCGCCAAATTCCTGGCCCAAGGTCAGAGGCACAGCATCCTACATTTAAAAAAAATGAAACACAAGGCATGTCTATGAATATACAAGCATGTCATCGTTACTACCGGCCGACATTTAGTTTACCCATGACAAAATAAACCACGACTTAACGAAATCCACAATGTAGTGAATTTTGGAATTCCCTAATCTTAGCTCCACAATGAAAACTATCAGCTATATTCAACGCTGCTCACCGTCATCGCTGTCTTCCCAAAGGGAATCGGCATAAATGCTCCATCCAATAGTGCTTACTCATACGGTTTAACCTCTTTATAAGGACACGCACCATTCTTGTCCTTTACACGAGATGTCGCTTGTAAGCAGGGTACCATCTTCTCATATTCTGATAACCCCAATTTCGATGCAGGACACACTGGTGTCTCTCATACCCATTTGCGTCTTATATTAGTCCCATCACAAAGGGGGTTCAACTGTACTCTTAACATCAAAAGCTCTTCGCAAGTTGTAGATAGTTGATGTTTACATACAGACACATCTCCATAGCTGTTTTGGATTGGAAACTGGAACAACCTGGTAAACTTCGTTGGGAATAATGACACTGCTGCTCCGCCAAATTCAGATAGTAACAACAAATGTTTAGCTGTGAAAAAGTACTTATGGTTCAAGCAGAACTAACCTAACACAATTGCCCTTCACGGGTGACGGTTCTGTGGGTGCCGCTGACGTTTTTTTCTCAGGTTCTGAGTATACACTCAAACATCGTCATAACGAAGTTGCATCATACAAAAGGAAATAAGTTCATTATATCTGTAAATTTCTTACAAAGGTTATTCCTAAAATTGTATCTATTGCAAGACTATTTTTCATTTACTTTGTTATAACCAATATTTCATTATATTCATGTTCGTTATATAGAAGTTTGAGCATTGTACTTTTTCTATATTTAGTACACTAACTTTGTGCTGCACTTTCCCTCATACACATCAAACAAGCACCTGGTCTTCCATGACAAATGAAAAAACAGTAAACATGGGTCTATATAGTATGTTTTCTCATCGAACTTTTGCTTGTAGATGTTGCTAATTCACTGTCGCGCTCATATCTATTGGTCGCATAAAAGTCAGCTGTTCGCCCCAACATTCCAAAATACTGCCCCACAAGGATACTACTAAATCAAATTTGCCCACAGCACCACTAATTATTGTTTTAGTGTCAAAATCAATCGTGCAATGAGGCATATTCTTTAACACAAGAATTTAATAGTGCCTGTGACTGAACACCATACACTTCTACAGTGACTGTCCCTCCCATCATCACATCGAAACAATGCAGACAAAAAGGCAGGATATTAGTAGTACGAACAGGACAGATGTTGCCCTATATCAAATTCAAAGTTCCTTACTGATTAACAATAAGCTGATCATTTATGCATCTGTCCGTTTGTGTACTCTTTGTCCCACCGTCTACTCTTTGTGATGAACCAATGCTAACGAGCCCTGTTTAGGAATCTAATAATGCTCTCTTAAGGCCACATGCTGGGATTCGAAAAAAAAGACCACTATCAGAACAAGCAAACACAGTACACACCATTGTGCAATGAGCACATGAACATTTATGAATAGATTTCACGTAAAGTGAGCTTGCCAGCCGAATGTTTGAAATAACTACCGTAACATGACAAACAACCCAATATAATGCCAATAAAGCACACAGAGAACATAACACACACAAAACAACAGATGATACACAATGTACCCCAAATACCGCAAATGCAGCATCAACAACAACGTTAGGCTTGCCAAGGGAGCCTACAGGAATGAGGCATAGTATTGCACCGGTAGACCTTTCTGACAGCAGGCTATCGCTAACCACACAAAGCCACAAAAGCAAAGAAGTGCTTGTCCTCATGAGCGCGCGTGACCTCCCAACCGCCAGGTGGTGCCACTGCACAAACACAGCGCCAACTCTTGCCCGTCCGTGACAGAGCTAAGCTGATCTGCCAGATGTGCATGTGCCATGAGGTGAAAACGATTTCACCGGGAGTGCCAACATCCCCCCCACCAATGAGGCATTTTCCTTAACAAAAGACCAATGTGTACTTAACAGTAGTAAGCAACAAGTGCTACAGCATTGCAAAGTCTCACCTGAGTGTGAGTACGGCCAATCTTGATAATGTCGTCGAACTCCCGGGACTTGGTGCGAAGTGCGTCGAGCAACTTCTTGAGTGCCGGCAAAAGGAGCGTGTCGATCTCCATGGCAACCGCAATGTGCATGGCTGTCGGGTACGTGTCGTTTGAACTCTGCAACAAGCGTTGTCATAACAATAAAAGGTGCAAATGTACTGTGAGCAACAAGCACAGGTGAAGCATTATTTTTAGTTTATCTAAATGACATGTCATCCGAATCTACTGTGCAGTGTCGTTTTTTCGCGGACGACTGCGTTGCGTACCTGCCCATTCAATCAAGAACAGATCACGCCACCCTAAATGAATACTTATCGGTTGTTACAGCGTGGTGTAACTCCTGGAAAATGAGCCTCAACATAGCAAAGTGCGTCAAGATGACCATAACACGTAAAAAAAATCCCTCGGAATTCACTTACATGTTAAACAACACTGCTATAACAACCGTTAACCAGTACAAATACCTTGGTCTGACAATCACTTCTAATTTGAGCTGGAAAACTCATATTGAAGGTATAACATCAGCAGCACTGCGGCGATTGTGGTTCTTAAAGCATCGCATGAGGCACTGCACCAGCAAAACAAAACTAGTTGCTTACACTACATTGGTACGCCCATTGTTGGAATATGCTGACGTTGTATGGGATCCACACACACAAACTGAAATATACTTACTAGAACGAGTCCAAAATAAATCCCTTCGGTTTATTTACCACGCGTATAGTAGACACTGTTCAGTCACTGAACTCCGTAATAGATCCGCCCTTCCCACATTGGAGTCGCGTAGAAAGCTACATCGCTTAAAATTCCTTTATAACATAGTCAACGGACACTCAGGACTCGCCTTTAACACTTACATGCAGTACAATACATCGCGGAAAACTCGGAACAAGCATGATAACACCATAGTGGTGCCACTTACAAAAACAAATTCTCGGCGATATTCCTTCTTTCCACGAACAATTTCCGACTGGAATGAACTACCTCATGACGTCACCAGCATCGCAGCGCCCGACGCATTCTTATCAGCTGCCACTGCCTGTCTGTAGTAAAAGCTGTCTGGTCGTATGTGCAGATTTCAATTCTTTTTATGATGTTTTTTCACTTCGTGTTAGGAACAAAATTTGGATTGTATTTTTGATACCGCTCTTGTGTTGCTCCTGTAACCCGAGTACTCATGTTCCACGCAAACCTGTTATGTGGTGATTTTATTTCTGTGCCGTGAAGAATAGTGTTATAAGTGGCTGCAAGTATGAAAGTTTGTATCACTCCTGCCTTGGCCACCAAGAGGTGGCTGGCAGTATGCAATAAATAAATAAAAAATAAATAAATAGAGAGGTATGTTCACTTTGTAGCATCGCTAGCAATAATGATGCAGATGGGAACAAGTTGACGAACTATACAGGAAGCAAGGGCTGGCTAATGAATTATTGCATCTGGCTGTACTTCTATGTCGTGCCCCTTGTACAACAATGCACATAAAAGATGTTCCGAGTATTCCAGGGCTTCAAGTAGTCAAACAACAATCATGCTGTTCTAATATTCACTTGCTCTAACGCGGAATGCGGGAGTTGCGCAATGCAAGGCCATCCCACCTGGCTTTTGTTGACGTGGTCGTTAGGATGAACAGGGCTCTTGCTTCCAAGCTTGCCCCCAAGCATTTCGATGGCCCGATTGGCAATGACCTCGTTGACATTCATGTTGGACTGGGTGCCCGAGCCCGTTTGCCAGATGACCAGTGGGAAGTGCGATTTTAACCGCCCGTCAATCACCTGCAGAGAGAAAAGAATGACCACTCTCAGCACAGCTCAGGGGCTGTATCATCACCACACCTCAGCAACCATATGACGATGCACAAGAAGCGTTGTCAGTTCATTTCAAAACAAACAGCACAGCCCCATACCATCAGTGACTTAACATGAAATTAGCTATAAATTGGAAGCACGTGCATTCGTGAGAGGCATTAAGCTCCACAAGAAATCTGTCCGTACCGAGACATCTACTTGTCATAGGCATCCAGAAAGCTGCATACCTCTAATGACCTTTCACGACTGCAATCTTAAGTGCACCGTTATTGTTTCCTGTACTGAAATGATTGCTGGTCCCCAATTAGTACATAGTCCCATACAGTAATTGGTTGCATTCCCGAGCTTATGCATTTTAGGAAAAAAAAAAAATTTGCAATTGCGAAAAAATTGCAATTATGATGCGACCATATGACAAGCAGCCAAGGCCAGAACAAACAAACCTCATCGGCCGCTTGTGAGATGGCGTCCGCCAGCTTAGAGTCCAGGCCATACTCCTTGTTCACAATGGCCGCAGCTTTTTTGAGGATGCCAAAAGCTTTGATGACTGGGAACTGGAAAACATTGACAATGCAGGTTGTTTACAGTTTTTGTAGAGGAAAGAACAATCCAAGACAAAAATACCAAGGCCCCAAGTCACAGACTATCTCAGTGTGACGATTTCTACTTCTAAGTCACTTGACGCAAGTAATTTGACACCAGATTCCCTCCTACGTACATGAGCCAAAGCAAGCCAATTGTAGGGTGCATTGTTATATACAACTTCAATGAAAGCCATCAGATAATGGAGCCAAGGATGGTATCGGGGACGTTAACTGTTTGAAGTGCTTCCTAGTAACTGTAATATAGATGGGAACAAAACAAAAGGGATTAAAAGACAACTTGTTGCCGAAAGGGACTGTACCTGCAACATCCTGACGAAGTATACAATGCTCCACCAATAGCGCTGCGGTGGCAGTCGTTCTTTCATCCCATTTATTGGGTATTTATTTGCATGCGAACCTGGGAGTTAGCCCTGCTCGTAGCCACGACTGCATGTGTGGAAGGTTTGGCTTCAGTCATATTGACAAGTTGTCTTCTTGTGTCACTTTACAGCCTTCACATCTATATCGCAATTACTACAATACACTTGAAATTGTACAATTAACATCTGCTATACCTTCCTCGGCTTCATTATCTGCAGGTTTTTAGTGAGGTGGCGTCAAACAAAAAGATGAGCTCTCTAAATACTCATCTTCTTTCATCTGTTGTTTCATACAAGTAGCTTTGAACTTATTTCAGGTATTTCTGCATGTTTGGTCAATAGCTGTGCAGCACACTAATTGTTAGGTCGTTGCTCCAACACCTTGCGACATTTACATACAGCATCTAATTTGAGCTATTATGTCATGTCAAGCACTTAAAAGGCTTGTAAACCACCCAGAGGTAGAAATTCAGTTGTGGGAAAATTGTGCATGAGTGTACAACGAACACAAAGCCGTGAGAATATTTCGAAACAGTGCAGCAATAGCGGAGTTAGACGCGTTTGATTGTCAAAACCGTGACGACCACATCTTTCACTCTTTCCTGCGCTTCCCTCCGCTGGCGTCCTCTTCCACGCCACTTTTCCCTTTCACCGAGCGCCCCTCCCAATCTCGCGTGGCATACATCCTCGCTGACGCGCTGCTTGATACACCGTCTACTTCCGTTTGCCGACAGTTGTGTGCTTCTTGGCGAACCATCCGGTAATCATGCCAGTATGGAGCCTAGCTGCGTTGCGCACATGCCTTCAATGGATTGCCAATGCGATGGACCCTAAAGGAGACACGCTGTGCCCTGCCCATGTTATAAACGCACGCAGGCAACACGACGAAAAACAAGCAGCGCGGACAGCTGCTTGCAGACTGACCAGAAGTCATAGGCTCTTGCTCGACAGCATATTTGGCATATTTGACTCGGTGCACCAGAAATGTGGTGCGGCGCGTCATGCGGAGGCCCGAAAGGAGGAGGGATTGTTTCATGATATTGTGGCCGTGCTGGCGGCCCGTAGCACTGCCACTTGCATAATCGTTGATCAAGCCGGCATTCTGCACACGATGCGCACGTTTACTTGAAATGCTTGAAAAAATATTGGAGGTGGCTTACGGGCCCTTTAACTATCCGGAGCGAAATCTTGAGGAAAGTGTGGTCCTGCAGTGAACTACAAAAATTTGTCTGTAAAATACTTTACTTAAATAATGATAAGGCATACTCATTGCATGAAATACACTGTGCCGATTTGAAAGTAGCCTTTTGCTCTCAAACAACACCAAACGCTTAATCACCACAGAAATTCCCTTCTCCACAACACCTACCGGCATCCTTTCGTTCTCGCCACCGATGTCGAAATTGAGCATAGAACGCATAGTCTGTGCTCCATAGTATTTGTCGCTCGGCACCTTGAGTTCACCAAATGTGTCAGACTCGATCCGATAGTCTCCCTGCAGATGGGAAAAAAAAAAGGACAGGGGTAAATGAATGCGTGGCACATAACATTCGAGAGAAGCAGTTTGGTGCAAGCAATATTTTCAATGCTGTAATACTTTTTAAAATTTTTTTCTTCAATCGACCGGCACGAATTCTCGGCAATATTGCTTAGAGTGCGTGCCGTTCGATTGCTAAACGTTCATTTGTAAACAGGAACGAAAGTTACACCTTTTATTACATTGCGGTGACTGCAACTAATTTTTGACAGCTAGACTGGCTTGCCGAAGTGCGTTTCGTTAAAAAAAAATGACGACTACGTACGCGCAACTTGTGCAGATCGATGTTTCACATTCCTCGAGCCCTGCAAGCTGTTCAGAGTACATCCTATGACTGAGAACGTTTTTAGTGATGCCCTCTCCATGATACGGGGAGCTACGAGTGTTTTACTGCACACGTTCTAAATGCAGAACATTTCGTAGTCGCACCCATGACCTACTACACTCCTGACCTGCCCAGAGAGCACCTCTTCCAGCGCCCACGTTCTAGTTCATACCTTCTGCCGCTAGGGCCGTCACCTACGAGCGGCGTGGCGCTAGGCAGCACCTGTTCGCTGACGTCACCTTCACTCTTTGTAGTCAAATTTTAACCAACAAAGCACTCGTAGTGCGAATTTATGATCCACAATTTAGAAATATCCAGAAATAATAATACTAAAAGACATTCAGAATTTTTTTTGCAATAAAATGCACGCGACAACGCATAGGCTGTCCAAAATCATGTAAATCCACGGGTTTCCACGTTTGTCAACCAGTGTGCTATAAATTCTTAAGCGCACTGAACAGCTTACTTGACCAGCAATGTATGGGAAGAAATAGTCACATATATGCCGACAGTTCACCACAGAAAGCAGGCATTCTTATACCAGCGCCTACAAAACAACCGTAAAGAAGCAGACGAACAGGTTATAGGTAGCGCCACCTACGGCGAGCGATTGAACGAGAGCGGGGACACGCGCTCCCATAGGAACCCCGCTATCTGAACAGGTCAGGAGTGTAGTAGGTCATGGTCGCACCTACTCGCAAATCCGGCGTCGACGGTGTCGCCGACACCCCCACTGCGCATGCTCGCGTCTCGTGCCGCATGCTCGCGCGTCTCGTGCAAACTATAGTTAAAGCGCGATAACAAAACGACGACACAGAGACAAGAAGGAGACGAAGGACTCCTTCTTGTCTCTGTGACGTCGTTTCGTTCTCGCGCTATAACTATCGTCATGCCATACCAACTAGCGCGCAAGCTGCCACACTTCGTGCCAACTGTCGAGTTCCCCCCGCGGGAAGATGCTGGCGCCTTTTTCCACCACATCGTCACTTACAGATGTCGATGCCGAGACACTGAAGACGCGAGCAACGAAAAGTTCACGAGACTTAGTAGCTCGTTTACAATGCACTTCTGTAACGTGAGGTGACCAAGCTCGTCCGATGCGCCGGCCGGCGAGAGAGCGATAAAAACCCGCGTCCTTGTCCAGTCGCAGCGCACCGATGCGCTCACGCCGGCATTTACGCGATGTGCTGGACATATGCTCGTCTTCAGCAACGTTCTCGACGTCTACTAGCGTGGTTGTTCACGTACCGATCCGGCGGCTGCCGTGCTGCTAGCAGACGAGTGCAGTAGGGCCATGTTTCCTCGGAAAAAGTTGTGCCGTGCTGTGCACCGCAGTTGCGAGACGAGGGACACTGGCAGCTTCATGGCTGTTCAAGCTCCGATAACGGCACGTGATAAGTGCGAGGACGAATGAGGAGGGAAAGACTCGCGTTGTTTCTTCAGCGTCAACGGCAATCGGGCGCTGAAATTATCCTTGCGCAACAGCGAAACTTGACCGACGACTCTCTCGGATGACCTCCCCAACCTCCCTCTTCCCATGTTTTCTCGGTGTAGAGGTCGCTATATAATACAATACTTCAAGCTAAGTTTTGGAAGAGCAGTGGAAGTGAGAAGGAGACAAGATGATCAACTACAGGAAAATTTTTACTCAGGGAAGGCAAATAGACATAGCTACTAAACAAATTGAGAAAGTAATCGCTGAGAATAATAAATCAGTGTGGACATACACGAATATGATTACACTGTTTAATCTAGAGCTTGCTAAGGCACGTGACAAGTCACCCCGGAAAAGGAGACAGAAAACCAAGAGTTTGTGGGATGAGGAAGTTAAGGCAGCCATATCAAAACGTCAGGAAGCCTCTAGGGAACACAGACATGCTAAGCAGTGGGGTGAACCGTCAGATCATGTAGAAAGAAAATGGGACATCTTTCTGAGCCGTAGAAGGGAAGCATCCCTTCTGATCAATGAAAAGATTATAAGGAAGGGGGCTCAGTGGCTGGCAGAAGTACATAAAAAAGATAGAAAGGCAGCTGCGAAATTTCGGAACCATCTAAACTCCCTAAGAAAAGAGACAAGTCTAGAACAGATGTTTATAACTACAGATCAAGGTGCTAATTAAGCTAGAAGGGGACGAAGCTGTTGAATATATAAGAACAAGGGTGACAGAAAAATTTCAACAACGAAGTACCTTATGCACCACAATAGACAAGAATGAATCAAGTGGCGCAATGGCTCCATTTTCACAACGAGAGTGGGAAAGGGCTGAGAAGAGGATTCCTAGTAGTACCGTCAACAGGCTGACAAAGACATTGGGTCCGAAGTCTAAAAGCAAACTTTAATAGAGGCAGTGAGCAAAATAATAATTGATGGTGAAGTCCCCGATGGATGGAAACTTAGCAGGATGAGCATGATCTATAAAGGAAAGGGGGACAAAGCTGACATAAACAACTATCGTCCTATAACAGTTACATCAGTGGTCTACAGGCTGGCGATGCAGCTTATAAAGGAAATACTGCAGGCATGGATAGATGATGAGCGGATGCTGGGGGAACTACAGAATGGGTTTCGGCATAGCCTCCTATATTTTTTTGTGCCCGCGCATTAGCGCTAAATACATACGCGCCATCCGTCCCTTATAGTTTTGGCGCTCGCCGCCAGATGCCGCACCGATCGCATAATAACAGCAGACGACGCGGCCTATGCACGCTTGCGTTTATGACGGTCTAGAAACCGTCTACATTGCATTGGATTATGCGTATACGTTAAGAAGTGCGCACACACCAAATTTTTAACACAAGCACTGTATGCAGAATGCAATGTGAGCTTTGTTATTTGATTTCGCGCTCAAAGCTTGAGCACTTTTCGAGACAATGGTTTGACATGAAAATCTTTTGCCAAGTCGTGTTTGTCAGTCACACTCGTCGCGAAGTTCAGAAAAAGTGGGCGGAGAAACTTCACGAGCACAACCTCCAAAAGTTTTTTATGATGTCCCGGGGTCGAGCACTTGAGTTTGTCACGTTTCTGTAGTATTTGCGCGGCGTTGTCAACGGCAGCCTTCAGTGGCTGATTCATCTTTCTCGCTCTTGCGAGGAAAACTTCCGCGTAATTCTTTAGAGAATTTAGAACCATTACGAGCTCAGTTGACGGATACAGGAGTACACCTGGGTGGATATCTCCACATTCAATCAGAACATGCTCCGCCGTTTCCTTATCTTTCCCGCAGCATGTGCATTGTTCTTCTTCTTTACTGAATCTTGCTTTATAACTACGCGTTCTAAGGCAACCCGATCTCGCCTCAAACAGTAAAGCGCTTCCCCTTGAATTATCGTAAAATGCCTCCCTCCTTATTTCATTTTTGCCCTTTCGGTAGTTACTCAAAGCCGGTTTTTTCTCCATAGCTGCCATCCATTCTCTCGTTTTGCGCCTCGGCGCTCCGCCAGGAGCGCTCGCATCCCATAATAGCTGTAAAGGCGGCATAATCCCATAAAGGCGGTAAAGGAGCAATTGCGAGAACCGCTGAGAGCTGCCGAGCACAGCTGTCCTTCCCGGCCGGTACTGACTGCATCCACAGCAGCGCAGACGCATTCGGTGGATGTCCTGCAGGAAAGGGATCAAGCGGTGGTGGAGTCGGAGGGTGGCCGGCCACTGCAGTCGGTGCAGGAGCAGTTGAGCTATGCGGTCGTTGGTGAACAGAGCGGCGAGGGTGCGCAGCGGGGTGGCGGCAGCTCCTCTCATACCACCGGCGAGGCGCAGGGTCTTCCCGAACGGACCCACGAGACGGGTGGCGTCGGCGAGACAATGAATCTGAAGCACGGGACTGCTGCTGGACTCGACGGGAGCAAAGCTGACGACCAGTCTCTCACAAACGCTCAAAATAATGAACAAAGACCGGGAAAGTGGAAGAAAAACAAAAAGGCTGCTTGCCGCTACACACCCGAGGTCCTAGTCGTTGGTGATGGCAATGCTCCAAGAATCGCGGGTGAGCTCCGAAGAATCTGGGGCAACAGTGTGCTCGTGAGGCAGGTCTCGGAGCGCAGGATGACGGCGGACAAACTGCAGCACCTGCTTCAGAGCCGCAGTGAAGGGGAAGGCCACAGCGCACAGCTGGTGGTCGTGCACGTAGGGGTCCACGATGTTCTCAAAGGAGTGCAACATGGAGATATTGCCCAGAACATCCGGCAGGCGGTGACACCGTATGCGAAGAGGCTGGTCATCTGCTCCGTCCCTGAAGTTAACACGAGAGGCAAGGCAACGCAGGCAAGAGCAATGCTCCTAAACGCAGAGCTAAGGAAGATGAGTGGAGCCGTAAAGGCAAAGTTTGTCGACCTCTCTAGGATGCTGGCAGGAGAAGGACGACTAGCCCAGGACGGCATTCACTACCTGGCACATACAACACGTGAAGTTGCGACCCAGCTGGTCCAGGAGACACGAAATTTTTTAGGACTACGCGAGCCTCACGGGAACAGGGGCAAGCCAACTCGCAGACCACCTCCAAATATAGGATCGAGAGTCCCCATGCCCGCCCTGGAGATACATTCCCCATCCCCGGAACCACCCAAGACCACAAGCGTGACCACCCACCAGGGGGAAATCAGGGCCGATGTACGGACCACCCCAGGGCAAACCCTCCGCGAACACACCCAGCCGGTTTACGCAGCAAACATGGCACAGCTGGCACCTTTGAGCACACCCCGTCCACCGGGGACGAGTTTGGCTCCGCCAACATGGGGGCCACATCTGGGCACTGCACACCCTACGAAGACCCCGTGGCAAGCATTCAGGCTCAGCGCAAGCCCCGAGCTGTATCAAATGGTTGGGGAAATGGTCCGCCAGCAAATGATGCGCCAAATAATAATGCCGAGTCAAATCACCCAATGATTCTGAAGAGCCGTCGAAGACACCACCACCGCAAACGCACAACCACCAATGTAAACGTTGGTTTTCTCAATCTTCATGGGGCGAGAAAGGCAGCTAAGTGGGCTGAGCTGTATAAGACGCTGAATAGCGAAAAGATCGCTCTGTATGGTGTGGTGGAAACTCACCTACGAGAGTTGGAAGAGCCACCAGTTGACCCCGAATGGCAGTGGGTGGGCTGCAATCGTACAGGGGATTGCCGCAAAGGAGGCGGCGCTGGTGTGCTGTGGCGCAGCAATACAGCCTGGATGCCAATGAAGGGTCCTTGTGCCGAGCACATTTGGGTTTCTGGGACTATTCTTGGTGAGCCAGTTCTCTTTGGTGTGGTGTATTTAACGGTGGCTAGTGGACCACATGACGGTAACGACAAAGTCCTACAGTGTATCATTGAAGATGTGAAACGGTGGGGTGCAGACCGCGAGGTGTTGTTGATGGGAGACTTTAACGGACACATCCCGGCCACTGACGGGTACTTGGATTACAATGGGAAGCTGTTGTTGCAATGTGCGGAGCAGCTCTCTTTGGAAATCGTTAACCTTCGCACTGACTGTGAGGGATGCTTCACATGGTGCGCTCGTACCAGCCGCTCTACCATAGACTATGCTCTGGTGACTGCAAAACTGGCCGCTCGCATAGCACAAGTGCATATTGATGAAGAGGGCCAGTTCAGCCTTGGAAGTGACCATAATCGCATACGGCTGTTGTTCTCTAAGGGCGGCTTTCGAACAGGCTGCATGTCACCTCCACCCAGGCGTGGCATGTACTTGCCGAGCAAGTCCGTGGAGAGGGTCGCCAAGGATTTTGAAAGTAGTCCTCAACGGCGGGAATCCCGCTCGTACAGTGAGTTCATGCGCGCACTGGACGCTGTAATGCGTACCCAGATGGTCCAGGAGAGGCCGGGACGCAGGCCACAGAACCCATGGTGGGACAAAGAAGTGGAGGTGGCGTGGAAGGAGCGCCGCCAAGCAAATCGGGAACATCGAAGATTTGTCAAAGGCCTTGACACTGAGGTATGTGCAGAGAAGTGGGCTGTGTATCTGGACCGTAAACACAAGGTACAGACCCTGATTCAGTGCAAGATAGCAGACTACAACCTTAGGCTGATCCAGTCCATCAGACAGGAAGGAAGATCTGCAGCACACAAATTTTGGACATACATTAGGTCCTTGGACAGAGCCGCCCCCCCGCCACCTCCTCTCATAGATGCGGCAACGGGGCAACCAGTCGGAGAGCCCTGTGAATACATTGCACAGCACTTCTCCCGGATTTTCGGGACCTCAGACTTGAATACAGACACCACCCTTAGTAAAGAGGAGGCAATCAGTCCTAATACCGAACGCCCCCCAAGCCAAACAGAACCACCCTGGGCCCTCTCAAGGTTCACAGTTGAACGGGCGTTGAAGCGGATTAGGGCTGGAACGGCCACTGGTCTGGACGGCATGCCAGCGCG